TGGTTGGAATGGTGTTGAACCTACGTAAGTCTGAGCTGCAGGATTTGAGAGAAAATCCTGAGGTGACACCCAGCAGTGGAGTCCGAACATTGGGCTGTCCGCTGGCAGTGGTCTTGAGGTAGCAGTAGAAGTGCCTGCAGAGAGGGGCAGATGTTTGTGAACAGATGAAAATGGTAGTTAGTACCCATGAAAATTATATAATAAGCAGTTTTTAAAGATAATACCTTAATGTATAAACTGAAAAAGAGCTTAGATCATAAACTGCATGTTTTTTTCCCCTTTCATTAACATTGCTTTTTGCATTCAGTACCCTCTTGACTTCTGCTATTGCATGGTAGCACTAAATGAAAAAACGTACAACTCCAGTTTTCACTTTTCAGAGATTAGAATTATTTTTTACTGTCTTGCTAACCTCTTCAGAAGAAATAAGTATTACTTATGTATTTCTAATTATGTGTGTACTGCTTGTTTTGTACCTGTTGTCTCTGGTCCAGTCAGCCCTAATAAAGGTGAAGAAGAGACAGGAGGCGTGCTGAGTGCAAAGCAGCTGGCAGTGCTCAACATCAGGAGAGTAGACAGATGTTATGTCTGTTCCTGGGAAATCAGTATTCTCCAGAAGCTGTTGACTACAGTCTAAAGAAATGGAAAAAGCAAACACAGATGTTTATATGGAGAACCTAACATCCTGAAGGGTGATATTTTTGTTTTATCATGTGTGTTAGCCGATTATCTTTCAAGAGATAAAAGGTTAATTACACTGGTAAAAATAAATAATGGAACACTTATTGGTCACAGCATAACACCAAGACAGTTAAACTTCAGGGATATCAATCTGTCCATTCAGGAAGCACAAGTGATTGTCAATCAGTTTGACCTGCTTTGGTGCAAATGATAGTGACAACAAGTGCAGTGGAGAGGAACAAGCAAGACAACCCCGGTAGTCCAGCTTCTCCAAGATGGCACATCAATACATGTGGTTGCAAGGTTCGCTGTGTCTCCCAGCACAGACGGCCATTACAGGAGGAGAGCTGGACAGGGCTGTAGAAGGGCATCAACCCAGCAGCAGGACCAGTATCTGCTCCTTTGTGTGAGGAGGAACAGGAGGAGCACTGCCAGAGCCCTACAGAATGACCTCCAGCAAGCTACTGGTGTGCATGTTTCTGACCAAACTGTCACAAACAGACTCCATGAGGGTGGCATGAGGGCCCAACGTCATTTAGTGGGACCTGTGCTCACAGCCCAGCACCATGCAGCTTGATTGGCATTTGCCAGAGAACACCAGAATTGACAGGTCTGCCACTGGCGCCCAGTTCTCTTCACAGTTGAGTGCAGGTTCACACTGAGCACATGTGACAGGCATGAAAGAGTCTGGAGACACTGTGGTGAACGTTATGCTGCCAGTAACATCAACCAACTTGAATGGTTTGGCGGTGGGTCAGTGATGGTCTGTGGAGGCATATCCTTGGAGGGTCGCACAGACCTCCATGTGATAGCCAGCGGTACCCTGACTGCTGTTAGGGACTGGGATGAAATCCTCAGAGTGACTGTCAGGCCTTACGCTGGTGCAGTGGGCCCTGGGTTCCTCCTGGTGCAGGACAATGCCTGGCCTCATGTGGCCAGAGTGTGTAGGCAGTTCCTGGATGAGGAAGGCATTGATGCCATTGACTGGCCCTCTATTCTGACCTAAATCCAATTGAGCACCTATGGGATGTTATGTATCGGTGCCTTGTTGCCACCAAGTGGCGTCACAGACTGTCCAGGAGCTCACTGATGTCCTGATCCAGGTCTGGGAGGAGATCCCCCAAGACACCATCCGCCGACTCATCAGGAGCATGCCCAGACATTGTCTGGAGTGCATACAAAAATGTGGGGGCAATACACACTACCAAATCATATTATGAGTTGCCGTGATGAAATTCACACAAGTTGGATCAGCCTGTGTTTTCAGTTTTTTTCTTTGATTTTGGGTGAGATTCTGAATCCAGCCCTCAGTGGGTTGATGATTTAGGTTTCCACTGACCATTGTTACGTCATTTTGTTCTCAACAAATTATATAGTGTACATCAGTAAAGATTTTCAACTTAAATTATTTGTTGGTCAAGATAATTACGTCTGCACAAATAAAATATATCAGGTTTCAGGACTTTAAGGCTTTGTACATTTACATGTACAAATACACATATAAAATACACTGTACCACTTATAAGTGCTGAAATGACAGTATCCAATAAATGCATTACCTTGACCAAAGGAGAGGCTGCAGATACACAGCAGACCCACTAAAATCCAATGTGTCTTCATCTTCTCAGTTTTGAAGTCAGTAATGATTCCCGAAGCACAGCTGCAGTTAAAGAGCTGGCTCTGCAACTGAGAGATGGTAAAGGGACTGTTTCTCAAGCCCCAAATTTTAAGGCAGTCCCATGCGAACTATGACCTGTTTTGTCTATTGGCTCTTTCAGAGTCCAGATTAAAATCAATATTGTGATGTTTTATCACGAGGACCTTGGAACAGTGTTCTGTTTACTTTTGCTCTGCTGACCTATTCTTAAATGTGATTTTGCCGTTTCATTGCCAGTAAACTGTTGCTTTTATGGTATGCTGAATCCTATCACTGTTATATTTTCACCTCTTTAGAATGTGACTAAAAAGTGTCTCTTTGTGGTCTTCATATGAAAACATTTGAAAACCGGTCTATTGCCGCCTTTTGGACAAATAAGGAATGACAAGAAAGCTGCAAATTCATGGATCTGAATGGCAACAAACCAAACCAAAGGACAGTCAAAGCAGCAGAGGTTTATTTGACTTTAGCAGCATCAGCTGTCAAAACTAAAAAAATTGCTGTGAGAGAGCAGTTTCGATGCCTGTGGTTCAATATCTTGGTGTAGAAACCAGCAGTATACGGTTACACAGACCTCTGTAAAACACTGACCTTAAATTATTAAAGCACACAAAGCTGAAAGTCAGTTTTTAGTGAAGCTAAAATTTCCTGAATATGGCCACTGCCATAGTGTGCTGGTGACATAATTTGGAGCTAGAGTCTGTGCAATAGCGATCTCTGCTGGTATCAAGTTCCTACCCATACACCTGTCTGACCAATTGCAAACAGCACCATTGATAGCAAGCATATTGGCCTCAATCCACCCTTTTTTATCATCAAATTACTAGCTATAACCAAACTTATCAGAGGGATAAAGACTTGAACACATCAGTGCAATAAGAACAACCTTATACCTTCTACCTCTTGGCCATATCTTTGGAAAATTTGGTATTCAATTCCACTGTTTTGTCGATGACACCCAGCTCTGTCTGTCCATCAGGCCTACTTCCACTCTTCCCCCCAAATCCCTTTCTGACTGCTTCCTGGATATTAAATCATGGCTTTCATGCAACTTCCTCAAACTTAACAGTGATAAAACTGAGGTTCTCCTTGTGGGTAGCAAATCTACTCTGGCTAAACCACACAGTTTCACTCTAACCATTGATAACTCCAAAGTCAATCCATCCATCCCCTCAGGTTAAGAGTCTGGGTGTCATCCAGTACACTGTCCTTTGAGGCCAACATCAATAATGTCACTCAAAAATAACAATAACTGGACAGTAACCATCTTTGGGAAAAATTTATTTGGCATGTACTTGGAGTTTTTAGTTTGAGTCAAGGCCCATATGCTAACATGGAGGGGGTGGGGTTTATGACCTATACTGCAGCCAACCACCAGGGGGCGATCAAGATGTTTTGAGGAGCTTTCATGTCGTCCATCTTTATAGACAGTCCATGCTTTGCAGCCAGTTAGCTTAGCTTAAAAAAATATACCACCCCTAAAGCTCTCTAATTAAATCAACACATTACATCCTGTTACATTTCATACAAAACAAGTTGCAGCGTAAGCTAACTGGTGGTTATGTGCTGGACTATTTCTTGACTTGGCACTTACTGTTTGGTCTGATGTTCTGACAAATAGAGCTAAATGTGTCAGTCATTTAAATCTAAGATACATCAAAATCTATGATTGTCATAATTCTCTTGTTGACCTGATACAATTTCAAGCAGTTACTGCCACCTACTGGTGTAAACAGAGTCCTGCAAAGCCCTGACCAACGTGTGTGTGTGTGTGTGTGTGTGTGTGTGTGTGTGTGTGTGTGTGTGTGTGTGCGCGTGTGTGTGTGCGCGTGTGCTTGTCTGGAAACATATCATGCCAGCATTTCAGTCTTTTCACTGGCTCCCAGTACAACACAGAATCAACTTCTTAGTTATCCTCATAGTCTTTAAAGCACATTTAAAACAAATTTATTTAAATGCATTAGTGTAACACAAGGAATGTGCTGAAATCAAGAAAAAGAAAACAATGTCAAAATGTGTAGAGCGCTCTAGATGCTTGGGGTTGATGTCTTTGTCTTGGCATCCCTGACTTCCTCCATCTGGCCACTTTAGAGAGCCAAGAGAAAAGCCTGTGATTCTCCTTAGTTTGCTCAGGCTGTGTTGTTGTAGTGTCAGTTTCTCAACAGAAGAGCTCCTCCCTGACTGCTCGCTCCTCCAGCAGCTGGGCCAGCTGGCTTTTCTGCTCTGTTTTCAATCTTATGATGAGGATGTTGAGGCTATATGCTGCTGCAAAGCTCACAGAAAGCTTACGGGTGTTCATGATCTTTTTTTTACCAATTTTCCACCAACATGGAACGGGTTAAGTTCGGGTTTGTGCATCTAATTATGGACAGCTGTGAGCATTTGACCAAAAATAAATTGGTATGAAGCCTGAAAAGTTGGTTGTTAGCTGCAACCAAAGAAATTATACTGGGTAGGTTTGCATTGACCTGAAGTGTAAACCATGACGACATCGCTCATATTCTACAGGCTGAAAAGAGAGGATGGAGAAGGCAACAATGTTAAAGTCAAGTGAGAGGATACTGACATTCAAATGAATAATGCAGGCTGAAAGCAAACTGATGTTCTCTCTGTTTTATTGCTCTGTTTACACACAGAAAGAATAATCTGCAGCTTAAACAGCATTCAAATGATGTTAAATGTGTGTGTGTAGAGCACTCCACACACAGTTCCTCTGGTGGAAGCCTGACACAACATTGGCCAGTTTGGTAACTTTAGGAGGAGCAGGCATGGTGATGGCACGATTGATATAGCAGCGGCGCCTAAAATACAGTACAACAACACCATCTTAAATTGGGCACCACAAATATAACTGTCATCATATTATTAAGTGTGTCTGATTGCTGAAATGTTGTTGCAACTTTACTGACAGGTGTGCATAAAGAATACTGTACCAGTAACTGCGGTCAGAGAAGTTTTCAGTTACGTAGGCGTAGAACTGGCAGTTAGGATCAGCAGTACAGGTGCTCTGACATATGTCTGCATTGTCCATCAGCTCAAAGCGTATGTAGGAACCTCTGAAATCTACTCCCTTGTGAGCAAGCTTAACCCAGCCTGTCAGCAGAGAGGAACAGTTAGACTTCACCAACAATAGTATTTCAGTATTTCACTGACAATAAACTGAAAGGATAAACAGAAAAACATTCAGATGTGCTGAATGATTCCAGTCTTTGTAATATCAGATCATGTAATAACCAAATCTAATATAAGAATTTGTTTCTTATCTATACATGTTAGCGGAAAATGGCTGAGAATTTGAGAAGTTATCAGCACTCAGTTACAACCCGAGCAAATCAGGCACACAACACTTGCAGGACGCAGGACATAAGGCACCACCTCTGCGTGAAATAACCATGCTTTTAAGGGAGTCCTCAGACAGGCCAGTCGACAAACAACATTTCCAAAAGTGGGCCCCTCTTCCACAATGAATCAAAAAAAATGGGGATCGCACACCTCCGGAATGCAGAAAAGTTAATTTATTTTGTCATCAATACAGAAAAAAGCTCAACACAGAGTGCTTTCGGCTGTCCGGCCTTCCTCAGTGTGTGAGTTCGTGTTCATTGTGCCTCTGATTACTGGCATGCTGTCACTGAGTGCATCAGGTGTGTTTCACTGTTCATTAATCAGGACAGCTGCAGGTAGTTTAAGAAAAGTTCCTTAAATAAATGTACAATTACATCAAAGCCTCCAGGAATCTGTAACCACTGTAGATATGAATGAATATAATACATACATATAATTGCAAACTAATAATTCATTTCATATTCAAAAAATGAAACACAGTAACAAATGTCAGTCACCAAACTTTTCCTTATTAAGGACGCAAAAATGTAAAGACCCATGTAGACCTGCATCAGTGGAATGAGTTTCTCAAACACCAAATATCTAATATCTAACTAACTAAATTATCAAGGTTGTAATGAAATAAATCCATTCAAAATTGTTTGAGTGTGTGATACTGATTATCATGCAACACTTCAAATGTACATTATCATTATGCATAAATATCAACTACAACAATGGCAAAACAGAATAAATGGGCTATGTCTGGAGGATATGATGCTTTTGTGGACTGTTTTACAAGAAAGGAGTCATATTAAAATCCTCATTCAACCCAGAAGGAACCCACCCACCCACTTACTTTAGTTGAGCCAACATTATAGTAAGGGGAACATATGAAGGAAGCGTTTATTAGTGATACATACTGTTATCCAGCTGACAGAAGTGTGCTGGGAGCCCAGATGTGACTCCTGCTTTAGCTGTGGTCACCATGTAATCATTGTTGCCCTTCAGGTGACAGTTGAAGTTATTACTGAAAAAAAAGTGACAAAAATGAAACCTTGAATAATATACAAAGAACAGATGCAACATAAAACCAATACTCAATCACACCACGACAGTTAAGATACTCTCAGCTAAGTTGCTGGAACAACAAATAGGCTAATATAACTCAGCACTTTCTAATTACCAGTGCAGTGCACAGACATTTTATGAGCAAGTGAAAAAAAGGGCCACCATTTGTGAAGCACACCCTGCCAGGAGACTTCTATGTGTCTGCTGGCACCGGAAGAGCTCTTGAGGCCTTAAACAACACATTTGTGCACATGAATGAGCAAGGAACATGTCTGTCTGAGGTGTCTCAAGATCTCAACTACAGTACAGGCCAAAAGTTTGGACACACCTTCTCATTCAATGCGTTTTTTTTATTTTCATGACTATTTACATTGTAGATTCTCACTGAAGGCATCAAAACTATGAATGAACACATGTGGAGTTATGTACTTAACAAAAAAAGGTGAAATAACTGAAAACATGTTTTATATTCTAGTTTCTTCAAAATAGCCACCCTTTGCTCTGATTACTGCTTTGCACACTCTTGGCATTCTCTCCATGAGCTTCAAGAGGTTGTCACCTGAAATGGTTTTCCAACAGTCTTGAAGGAGTTCCCAGAGGTGTTTAGCACTTGTTGGCCCCTTTGCCTTCACTCTGCGGTCCAGCTCACCCCAAACCATCTCGATTGGGTTCAGGTCCGGTGACTGTGGAGGCCAGGTCATCTGCCGCAGCACTCCATCACTCTCCTTCTTGGTCAAATAGCCCTTACACAGCCTGGAGGTGTGTTTGGGGTCATTGTCCTGTTGAAAAATAAATGATCGTCCAACTAAACGCAAACCGGATGGGATGGCATGTCGCTGCAGGATGCTGTGGTAGCCATGCTGGTTCAGTGTGCCTTCAATTTTGAATAAATCCCCAACAGTGTCACCAGCAAAACACCCCCACACCATCACACCTCCTCCTCCATGCTTCACAGTGGGAACCAGGCATGTGGAATCCATCCGTTCACCTTTTCTGCGTCTCACAAAGACACGGCGGTTGGAACCAAAGATCTCAAATTTGGACTCATCAGACCAAAGCACAGATTTCCACTGGTCTAATGTCCATTCCTTGTGTTTCTTGGCCCAAACAAATCTCTTCTGCTTGTTGCCTCTCCTTAGCAGTGGTTTCCTAGCAGCTATTTGACCATGAAGGCCTGATTCGCGCAGTCTCCTTTTAACAGTTGTTCTAGAGATGGGTCTGCTGCTAGAACTCTGTGTGGCATTCATCTGGTCTCTGATCTGAGCTGCTGTTAACTTGGGATTTCTGAGGCTGGTGACTCGGATGAACTTATCCTCAGAAGCAGAGGTGACTCTTGGTCTTCCTTTCCTGGGTCGGTCCTCATGTGTGCCAGTTTTGTTGTAGCGCTTGATGGTTTTTGCGACTCCACTTGGGGACACATTTAAAGTTTTTGCAATTTTCCGGACTGACTGACCTTCATTTCTTAAAGTAATGATGGGCACTCGTTTTTCTTTAGTTAGCTGATTGGTTCTTGCCATAATATGAATTTTAACAGTTGTCAAATAGGGCTGTCGGCTGTGTATTAACCTGACTTCTGCACAACACAACTGATGGTCCCAACCCCACTGATAAAGCAAGAAATTCCACTAATTAACCCTGATAAGGCACACCTGTGAAGTGGAAACCATTTCAGGTGACTACCTCTTGAAGCTCATGGAGAGAATGCCAAGAGTGTGCAAAGCAGTAATCAGAGCAAAGGGTGGCTATTTTGAAGAAACTAGAATATAAAACATGTTTTCAGTTATTTCACCTTTTTTTGTTAAGTACATAACTCCACATGTGTTCATTCATAGTTTTGATGCCTTCAGTGAGAATCTACAATGTAAATAGTCATGAAAATAAAGAAAACGCATTGAATGAGAAGGTGTGTCCAAACTTTTGGCCTGTACTGTATATGCACCCAGCAGCTGCTACACATTCACATTCACATTCTATGTTTGTCATATATTTATAGCAGGCAACAACAAAGAAAGCAGTGCCATGCCTTGTACACTTTGGAGGTCTATACAATAAACAGGCATTCAAAATTAACAAATCTTTATACAAATTTGAAAAATGGTGTATTCTGAACAAATGAAATAATTAACCAAACCATCAACCCTCCAATCTACAAAGGCCTTTGTTCAGCTGCAATAATAAGGCTCAGTGCATTCTACTGTCCTCTCCTCACTTTATTATTCATTGCTTTCCTTTGCGCTCCTCCTTTCAATTTGTTCTCCTCTTTTCTTTTTTTTAATAGTCACGTACTAATAATACTCATAATTATTTCCTAAATTTGCTTTAAATATTCTTAAATATATCTTAAATATTCTTATACCTCAAATTTAAATGGGATTTTGGTGTTTCATTCCCAGTATGCTGTTGGTTTTATGGTATGTTGAATCCTATCACTGCGTTATATTCTCACCTCTTCAGAACACGCTTTTAGCTTGAGCAGCGTGAAACCTTTACAACTATTATGTTTTGCAGTGAATGGGGATGAATTGTTGCTTTTGGAGGCCTGAAACTATCACCCGATTATGATTTTGACTTGCTTTGTTCCCAGGGTTAAACAGTTTAGTAAAATGCTGATAACAAAAAGCCTGGGATCAAGGCCATAATGGTCGATGTTCGGGGGGTTCTGAATCAGCTCACACACAGAATTGCCGTACATTGTAATACTGAAACGGAGGTAACAATGACAATTTTTTATCTATTATTTTGATTACATTTGCTAATCATTTTTAACTGCCATGTTGTGACAGTGGTGCTGGTTCATTGTTGTCATGGCATAGCATTTTTCTTTTAATTTCCTGTGGTTCAAAATCCTGGTGTAAAAACCGATAGTTTATGGTTACACAGACCTCTGACACTGACCTTGAAATTATTAAAGCACACAAAGCTGAAAGTCATTTTTTATTCCTTTCGTTAACAGCACAAAAATAATCATCTGCTGTTTCTGTCACAAATTATGCACAGAAATACAAACCACAGTAACAGCAAATGTATATTTCTTCAAAGTGGTATTTATTACACAACAGGAACAGTTCCAGTGTGTCTGCTGATGCGTGTTTGAATCTCAGATGTCTTTCAGTGTGTCTTGTGACTGTGGGCTCTCCAGCCAGGTAGGAGGCCAGGTGGCTTTGATGCTGGGTCTGTCCTTCAGACCGTTATAGTAGGCTGTCAGTTTAGGGTAACGCTCCTCAGATAGCCTATAGAGGAGAGAAAAGTTTGTGTGAACATTTGCATTAAATTTGCCCAGCAGCTATAAGTTATTTCCAGTCATTTCATCCACGTACCCAAAACGGTAGAGATAAGCGATGCTTGGATAAACAGTCACATCAGCCAGTGAAAAGCTCTTCCCTGCCAGGAAAGAGCCCGATGCCTGAGAAGAAGGAGCAAAAGAGTTAGGGCTAAAGAACGGACAATGATGATACTCATGTCAGCAGCTGAACAGGGCCACACTTTTCGCTGTTGTGGATGCTATACATTAGCTAGTTAAAATACATTATAGTTGCATGTGTTCCACATGTTAGGACATGAACTTATTTTCTTTCTTCCTGAGAGTAAGATGACAAGACTGATACCACTCTTATATCAATGAACTAAGAAGCTAATGTCAGCAGCATAGACTGTAGTCACTTCACAAAAATGAAGCCAAGATATCCTGCATACGCGCGCCGCCATCTTGTCCTGGTGACATAATTTGGAACCACAGCAATCTCTGCAGATATCACGTTCCCACCCATGCACCTGTCCGACCAATTGCGAGCAGCACCATTGATAGTGAGCATACTGATTGGCACACACACCATTTTTAACATCACATTACCAGTTATAACCAAACTTTTCAGCATGATAGGAACTACCTCAAATGACAGAAACAATCTTTGGGAAAAATTTGACATGTACTTGGTTTTTTTTTTATTTTGACCCATGTCCCATTTGCTAACATGTAAGGGGTGGGGTTTATGAACGGACTACTACTTCTACAAATGTGGTTAAAAGTGGAGTAGCTCATTATGTCAGGTTGAAAATATCGATCAGCAGGTGGCTTCACGCTCCCCTGTGCATCTCTTATAGGGATGAACCAATGTTTTGTGTTACCCACAGACAGAGCTAAGCTAGCTGTTTCCCCATGCTAAGCTAAGCTATACCATACAGACATCATACATATCACATCAATCTTCTTATCAAACTCTCAGAAAGAAAGCAAATGCTTTGGAAAAAAAATGCTGCCACAGCTAAAATCTTACAGAACATCCAACATGTAACTGCAGCGTTAGTTCCTGAGCATTGTGTCACTTCCTTCCTCTGCAGCTCTGTGTCTTTTGTCGTGTGTGTTAAAGGAGATTTCATGTTTACCTTCTGCAGGTATCCCTCCCACAGCTTGATCTCAGTAGTCAGAGCCTCTTTGTTTCTCTTTATGGCCGAGTCGTGTCTCTCTCCCTGCGGGACCTTCCAGGTGTAGTAGATAACATCGCCTGCAAAATGTTACCACAGGCATTCAGTCGTGACGGTGGCACTCAGAGGATTGCACGATATCAGCAAACGTTATCCGCTCATCATACAACATCCACTACTACACTGTGCTTAGACTAATTGGTTTTACCTCCCTAGGCGTTGAGGGTGGGGTCAGTAAGGACATTATTATGTAACAACAGTTTCAACGTGAAGAGAGAAAAAGTGGCTACAACAAAGTTTGAGGCAGCCTACTTAGAAACTGTTCACTTTGGGAACTGTATTTCTGATTTTGCTGCCTCTCTTGTTTTTGCAACCCTCGCCAAAAACAACCCCGTCTCATGACTTGAGCTTTGCATGCAAGCTGGTCTGAGCATGTGACCCTCTGTGGGATTAACGTTTGACCTCTCGACATCTAGCTGTTTTAAGGGGTGCACCACATAGAATTAATGCATGGTGCAATAGCTTAATAATATGAATGCACAGCTCATTAGTGCACTGTGTGTGTTTTGAGCAACTCAGGTCCTCTGAGGAGACTGAATGAAGACATGAAGTCTCAGAGGTTTTAAGGTGGCAGCTCTGTGTATGATGTTGCCAAGAGCACTGTATTTCAAAGTCCCATAAGGCGAATGTCTAAATGACAACAACATCAGCCAAGTCATCAAGTTATTAGTGAGACGCTGAACCTAGTGATGCCTTAATAACTTCATGTTCAAGTGGCTCAAAGGTGATGACTATTATTTCTTAGTAAAATACTTTTCATGTCAGGGTTAACATACCCATTTTCTGGTTTAGGGTGAGACCCTCAAACATGCGCTGGTACATCTGTGCTTGCTCAGCTGGGCAGTCAGGGATCAGCTTGTTTCCCTGGGACTTGAACTGGCTCTGTTGTTGGAGACATGAAAAGACGGCTATTATGAACAGCTGCATGGCGCTCCGGTGTCTTTTCCTTTGAGGTGTAGGGTGACTGTCTTTGAGGCATTGTTGAACACACAGCACAATGAGTCCTCCTACTTATTAACTCCTTGGTGGAATATGGCTGCATGCATTTTTAACTAGGAGGCCTGAGTTTGCACTTTAGCCAAGTTCTTACCTCTAGGTACATGCAGGCAGCGTAGGACTCATTCAGGACATAGTCTTTGTGCTTGAATGTAGGAAGCTTTAAGAAAGACAGATTGGACAGAAAACTTTATGTAACTTTTTTAATTTTTCTAATAAAATTAATATAAATGTGTGCATATCAGGAAAAAAAGGCAGTCTGACACTATCAGAGGAATATGTCTAAGTAATGTCTGAAGTGATCTTACCTGTCCCCTGGGATTCATGTCTGTGACTTGCTTGGACTTGTGCTCCATTTTCTCAAAGGAGAGCAGTTTCTGGTTGTAGCCCTGCAGGTTCTTCTCCTCCAGAGCGATCATGACCCTCCAGCAGGGAGGAGAGCCGGAGCCCCACAGCAGAGTCATGTCCTTGGCCATGGTTTCAGAGTGAGCTGCTACACCTGACTGTTGTTCAAGCTGTGAGAAGTGGAGGAAGTGGAGAGAGTGAAGCAATTGTGTGGCAGATGTCTATTTTATAACACACTCCAGCCCTTTGCATCCGGATTGGTGGACTTAAGTTCCAACCCATTTTTGTGTTATCACCAAAGATTTGTGACTCAAGACAGTTGAGATAGTTCACACCCTATCCAAGCATGTTAACCCAACCTTCTGTTAAAGGGATAGTTCAGATTTTTTTTGAAGTGGGCTTTCATAGGGTGCTTATCCATAGACAGTATGTTACATGCAGTAGATGTCAGTTGGCACGCCCCCAGTTTGGAGAAGCAGGAAGGAAGCTGACAAGGGAGCTCAGCCGTAAACTGCTGTGGAGGTGTCTGCAACAAAATGTATTTTAGCCACCGAAAAATATCAGTTTAAGTGTATGCTACATTTAGGATATTTTCACCACTTTACCTTGCTGTCAGACGGTGATTCCCAACTGGAAAATGAAGCTGTTATATCACTCTCTTCAAAGTCAGACTCCATTGAGAAAAACAGTGATTTAACACAGGAGCTGCTGGTCCACCACTGCCTGGAACAGTCATTTTGTTTGTGTTACTGTGTGACTTTGGCATTTAAAAGGTTAATTTGGATTCAACAAAATCACATAATAGCACAAACTAACTAACTGACTGAAGCAGCTGTGGACCAGCAGCTCCCTTGTACAGGGAACTTAAATTACTGTTTTTGTCACTGGAGTCTGGTGGCGCTGACGAAAGCATGGAGGTGGAAATGGAGCTGTTTACGGCTTCTTTGTTAGAACGTCCTAATGCATATTATCTAAATATAGCGTACACTTAAACAGATTTTTTAGGTGGCTAGAATACGTTTTGCTGCCGACCCCCATCCACACCTGTACAATGCTTTGCTTACGTGTCGGACTCCTGTTTGTTTCTCCAACCTGGGGGCGTGCCAACCAACATATACTGTATATTTCAAACTGACTATAGATAAATACCTCATGCAAACCCACATCAAAAAATCTGAACTGCTCCTCTAAGTCAAGGCGACATGAAATTCTGCATTATGCCTCTAGATGCTTATATTCATTGGCATTAGCAAAGTCACATATGTTGAGGAGAGACTTCTCTTGCTTTGAATAAATACTCTTTGATCCTTGTCACGCAGATCATGATAGTAGGGTAAAAAGGGAAAAAAGACAGGCAAGAATCCAACACTGAAATAAGAGGACATTTTGTGCAGTGACAGTAATAACTCAATAAGACAAATAAATAATAATAACACTTATACACTGGAATTATAATCAACAATCACCCTATTCACTCACGTTATGACTCTATTAGTTTTCCATAGCAGTCCAACATATATTACTTGGACGATATGTATCAGAGGAAATTCAAGTGGAAGTGTCATCTTGGTGTATTGATTTTATCTGAAAACTACTTCTGCGGTGATGTACTTTACTATTTCTTGATGCACGTCTACAACATCCTGAAATTTGATTGTTGCAGAGTCACAGTGACTCAGCACTTTACCTCTGCACACAGAGAGAGCCAACCCTGGCACAGTCATTAAAACTAAACAATAGAGTCTCTACCAAATGTAATAGATACCACCTGTTTAATTTGTCCCTACATTTGAGCCTCACATTTCACAAGTGAGCCCCCACTATTCATTGTTCATATATATTTTGCAGTTTCTTTGTGCCCTTTTTCACTGAATCAGTCTTTGCACTTCAGCAGTTGCGCTCTCAGTTGCCCATGTCAGCACTGTCATGTATCCTCCTGAGACAGTCTGCAGTCACCTTCTCTGCTATTTTGTTCTGCACTTGCAGTCACAATACAACTTGTTGCATGAAAGACAGCTAGAGAAATCACATGAAGATCATGTGGTGCTGCTGAGGGCGGTTCCGATGCTTCATTCAGCTGCTGACCATATTATTTTAATCTTTCCTGAGAAGTTTGACCAAAGGATTGCATCACAATCTTAACGACGACACATTCAGTGCATTTAGTCTTAAAAATAATGGTTTGTGACCCGATGACATTCCACGTCTTATCGTTTCATCTTCATTATAAAACTCTTCCTTGAGTTTGTCAGCTTCATTTTGCTCGATCAGCATGACATAGACAGGTTCTGCTGACAAAGCCTAAGTAGAAGGACAATAAGCAATGGTATTTACAATACAGCTGATTTTTCTGCAATATTTGGTCATGTTGGCCGATACAGGTTCTACTCTACATGCTTGACTTGGAACATTTTCACATTTAATATGCTGGTTTGAGTCCTGTTTACACAGGTGCCCTTGAAATTGGACTGCTCCCATTGGACCATTCTGTTTTTTAAATAAAGGCTGAATAAATGAACATGGTGCACAAAATTCAGGTTGTAAGGCAAGGAAGAAGTTATCTGATATGTAAACATCATGGATAAATTACTGAATGGGCTCACCGGTCACAGGCCAAGGGACCTCCCTGGGCTTTACCTGCAAAATGTCACCTAAATTAACACGTTCTGACCAGGAAGAGACTCAAAATGACCACAAAGAGACACAAAATGACTATTAAGTGACACAAAACTACCATAAAGACATACAATTACCTTGATAACACAGAAAATGACCACAAAGAGCCATAAAACCACAAAAAGATGCACAACAACTGCAAAGAGATGCAAAACCTCCACAAAGTCTGTGTGTCTTGCTCTTATGTAGAAGAGGTGGTGTGGCCCTTTGCACATCTGTGCCCGGGGGCCCTCTGTCTCATAATCCATGAGCATATTTCAACCCCTTGACAGTTATCAGGCCCATATTTTACAGGTCTCATGTTTCCAAAGTAACATCATCCTTGTAGGCTGATTGCATGTGATCATCAGCGTTTAGCATTATTTCAGTGTCATGAGGTGGCTGCAGACTTTTCAAGCACACTCCAGTTTGGTTTCCAGAGACTGATCTTGTGATGGCAAATAAGAAGACGCTATTTGATCAGATAAATAGTTTACAATAAACAGTATACTCTTTGAGTCTTCATTGTGTGTAAATGCTATACCACTGAGAAACATTCAGTGCATTGCTTATGTTTCACAGGCAGCACACAATGTTGGTTGGATCGGGCGGCCCCGTGATATTTTATCTCTTCCACAGGAAGTAGTAAATGCCTCTGTAATCATCAGCTGATGGTGCTAAACAGGAGAAGCCCCAAGTCGACATTTCTGTAAAAACACAAATAAGTTACATTTGCACATTTCATACATATCATATCAGCATTTCTAAAGTGACATGGTATATATGAACTGACTGGAGAGGGATAGTGGATGGCGTGTAATCTAGACAAGACGCTTGCTACTGTTCGAGACAACAAAAGCCGTTGTGATGTAGCAAGTCATTGCTTTTTTAGGCACCAAATGTGGGTGTTTTGTAGGGAACCATTGCTGCGTTTCCAGCTGGGATTGTGCCCCCAAAACCAGGTATTTTTAAGCTAACACATGATATTTTCCTAATCATAATCAAATTTTTTTTGTTTCTAAATGTAACCACACGTTAACCTGTGGTGCAGTGGAGGGTATATGCAGGTATACCAGGTATACTCAACCACCTATCAGCCAAAGAGCCTTTGGAATATATAGGGGGTATACTTAACTTCATCTTAGGTAACTTTCCCACCTACCTAGTTGTCAACCCACCTCATCAACTACCACTACACCACTGATATTGCAGCCTAAAGCTTCATGGTACCCGCTACATAATAATGTGCAATTGTGTCTGCAGGGACATACAATGCCAACATTTTTCTGGTGCCCCAAGATGAGTGATAGGATGTTACTTAACACTGCCATTGTTTCTCTACTCAGCACCATGAAGGTGGCTGTACACCAGGTAGGGCGTGCAGGATCTGAAGCCAAGATTGTAAGCTTGCAAAAGCCTCTACATAATACATGCACTTAAGAATTCAAGTAACATATACCAACATACACTGCAGTACAGCTGGGGTTGTTTAAAAGAAGCGCAGCACTCCACATTAAACGTAAAACCATTTGTACTTTATGTAAATACCTCTATCACATTTATGCAAACTCATGATAATGCAGGGCTTCTCACTCACCTTTGTGCACGGCAAACAGGTTTTGGCGCGGCCACAGAAACAATAAAACCACTGGATTGTATCACCACAGACACCGCCTACCTTTTTTAAATTGATATGTGAGATTGAAAACCTGTTGTATACATGACCTGGATATTAAGGGTTATACAGTTTATGTAATGCTGTGCTCAGCAACAGTAAAGTCATAACTTTAATAAAAACTCTCAGACTTTGTTCACGTCTCTGGCAGTGACACGGTTTTATTTGCAATGCTACAGTACAATTGTAGAGGCAGTACACTGGTGTAGGATGCAGTTAGTGTGTAAAGCCTACAAGACACGTTGGCTGTAGCGGTGGTTACTTAGAACAAGAGAGAGGTTGGAAGCTATTAAACGAAAACAACTGATGTCATAGGAAAGCCCAAACAAACTGCTGTTATAGTTATAGTGAGTATAGTGATTAGTCAACGACATTGATGTTAGACACGTGCCATGTATCTTGGCAACAAAATCTGCTATGTCAACAATATCACAATGTGACATTTGCCTGTTACCCTGCAACCTATCCTGTGTTTATTAACGGATTTTTGTCACAGATTTGGCAGAAACATCACTGAAAAACCTAAAAATAAAAGTTAATTTTACAAATTAAAAAATAAGATGCACATTTTTGCCCTTGTAAGACTGATATATTGAGAGCACACTAGTAATCAACACTTACTTTCCTTTTTATAATCAGAAAAGTTAACGAGCTGTATCATATTTGACAAACTGTGAGCTGAAAACTATATTAAACAAAAGCAAAACCCTTTTTATAGAAACCAAAACACAAGCAGACGTGACTGTAACGTGCGTGTGGTTCTCAGATATCTTTGAGTGTGTCTTGACCCTTGGGGTTCTCCAGCCAGTGAGGAGGCCAGCTGGCTTTGATGCTGGGCCGCTCCTTCAGCAGAGCGTAATACTCTCCCAGTTTAGGGTAATGCTCAGCAGACAACCTAGAGACAAAGCAGGAGACATTTGAACTGCAGCGTCAAGACTACACATCACTTATTTGGTTCGTGTGACTTTTTCCCCCCCGCTTACCCAAATCTGAAAAGAGTAGCGACAGTAGGAAAAACGATCACGTCAGCCAAAGAAAAGGACGGTCCTGCCAGGTGAGAGTTTGAGCCCAGCTTGAAAAAAAAGAAATGAAAAATAAAGCATGTTTAAACACATCTATACAGGTTGTTTTTGTTTGTATGTGTGTGTGTGTGTACACTATAAACTACCTTCTGCAGGTAGCCCTCCCAGAGCTTGAGCTCAGTGGCCAGAGCTTCCCCGTTTCTCTTTCTAGCTGAGTCATGCCTCTCTTCCTCAGGTACAAACCAGTCATAGTAGATAACTGCGTCTAGAAACACACACACACACACACACACTCACACACGCACACACACACACACACACACACACACACACACATTCAAGGGTTAGTGGCTTCACAGGGTGTATGATCCTATTTCCTTGGTGTATCAAGTATTGCTGAAAGTGTAGCATAATCAAACATCAATAATTTATTGTTTAAAAAACTGCATTGTGTTACAAAAGCAGGTCACGTACAGTGTTGGGGAGTGAGCAGTGACATGTAATTAAATTACAAGACAAATGTAATTGTGATCAGTTACTGAGAAAAATAATTCATTATTAAATTACAGTTACTAATCAAAATGGTGGTGATTATAAAGGGGTTACATATGAATGTATTTTTTTTTTTCAGTAAAAAGTTTCTATGTAGAAAAAAGAAAGTATTTTGTTTTGGGTTGTTTTTTTTTGCTGTGCAGGAATGCCGTCTTTCTGCTCAGCCTATTTCCTGAAAATGCTCAGCTTCATTGCCAAGTTTAAAACATTTGTTAGAAAAGTAATCAGTAATCAAATGTAATAATTGACGAAGAAGTTAAAATGGTAACTTTATTCTTTACATTTTTAACAGGGTAACTAGTAATCTGTAACCTAATACATTTAAAAAATAACCCTTCCAAACTGGTCACATCTCAAACAGCTAGGTGTAAACATCACTCAGACAGGAGTTAAAAGCACATTTGATGAGGACTATTTTTAGCTGCGGATGAACACACACTTGTTGCAGTGAGTATTTTCAGCACCAGGACAGTGAACGTGACTCTAAATTACATATGTGCCAATGTTCATGTGCACACTCCAATTAACGTACACTAACATGTCGTTTATCATGTCAAATTGTGGAAAAGTGGAACAGGCGTCGCTTGTGCCAGAAGTTTCCACTGGTGGCGCACTTGTTCAACCACGCGAACACATCCTCCCTCTTTCATTCCTTCAAACACCTTCTTGAAAAGGTGAGTGATGTGATATTTGCACATATTCAAAGCCCTCTTGACATCCAAGTCTTTCATTTTGTTTAAAAACAGGTGTGTTTCTCTTTGTCTTTCTTTATGGCCATGCATCTCTGCACCAGCACTGCAATCTGTAGGTGAGTGTGTGTAGTTGTGTGCAATGCATCCATGATGACACACAGAGCTGAGTGTAAACAGACAAGAGGCTGTGTGAAACATAGTCACTGAAACATGTCACCCAGTGTTACTGGTTTTGGTCTTTTAATTGGGATGGGACAACTGGAGAAACAAAGAATATCACAAATCTTCCCCTTTAAATTTTGCTATAACTTTTTTCTTTGCAGTGCTTTAAAATAGATATTCATTTATCTGTCTTACTGAGTTTTTCGTAGAACGTGAGACCCTCGAACATGCGCTGGTACATCAGTGCTTGCTCTGCCTGGTTGTCTGGGATCAGCTTGTTTCCCTGAGACTTAAACTGACTCTGCCATGAGGACAGAAAAGGCACAAACATGTCAACATGTCACACTAATAATGTGGAATTTGGTGTTTTAGTATCTGTTAAATTGCTTCCTGAATGGAGACTTGTTGGTCGATGGACAGGCTCACTCACCTCCAGGTAAAAACAGGCTGCGTAGGATTCATTCACGATGATGTCCCCGTGTTTGAAAGAGGGAAGCTTAAAAATAAAACAGGTTTTGATGTAGGGTTAACTGCTGATAGCCTTATCACCATACAGCCTCCTCTTTCCTAATGGCACTGGGAGCCAAATAAAACTACCTGCTGAGATGTATCACACAGGTTGGGAAACAAAAAGCTGGTGCACTAACCCTGCAACTTATTTAAAAAACATGTTGGATAGTTAACTACTAAAAATTAAAAGTGTTAATGTATACATGTTTACAGGAAATTAATGGTAGTAAACTTGGGCTGTGTGGTAGAATCTTTAAGCCAAACTCCATTCAAAATCCAGTCAATTAAACCTTATCTTGTTTTCTGGTGAAATACATCCCACAAAAACCAAGAATAAAGACGTTTAAATGACACCTAAAGGCTTATAATAACTTCGGCATGCTGATAGTTCACCTGCAGTATAAACCTGTCACTCAGCATTGCTTTGTTTTAGCGCCCTCTGCTGTGCGTTTGTGCGCAAGGCATATGAGGGCGTAATACATATTCATTAAGCTGGGAAAAAAAGTGCTGCTTGGTGAATATATTATAAGCCGAATTATAAAGGACATCCAGCTGGATCATTTGCAGCCTTCTGCAATGTTTCAACATGTATAGATTTTTGCCGGCAAGCTGGAAAACATTCAGTATATAAGGTTTTGAATGGAGTTTGGCGCCGCCTTAAAGAATATCCAACGGTAAGACTGCTATTAATACAAGCTGTTGCTATGCTCGTGTTATTTGGGGGAGGGGAATGTTAAGGGAAGTTTAAAGTCTAGCTACTCCATAGCATACCTGTCCCCTGGCATTTATATCTAACACTTCTTGGGACTTGTGCTCCATTTTCTCAAAGGAGAGCAGTTTCTGGTTGTAGCCCTGCAGGTTCTTCTCCTCCAGAGCGATCATGACCCTCCAGCAGGGAGGAGAGCCGGAGCCCCACAGCAGAGTCATGTCCTTGGCCATGGTTTCAGATTTGACAAGTGGAAGGCTCTTCGCCTGTCACTGTCAGCTACTGAAGATACGAGTGCACAAAAGAAAGGGGATTTATTGTAACTCTTTCCACAGTTCTTAAGGAGCTCTAGCTGTAATAGAAGCGCATACAGCCACCTACTGGTTAGGAGGAGGTATTACAGCTAAACAAAAACAGTTTAAAATCATCAGTCATCATTTTAGTGCATTGTCAGTATGTACCAAACTGTGCAATATGTATATTTCTTACATAAAATAATGTGAATTCAGCTACTCAGTCTGTGTTTTTATTATATTTTGCTTTTTTTTTTTTTTTTACTGTTTACTTATTATATTGCTTTGTGTTTTTACTCATGTATCTTTTTCTGCACTGTCCCCTCGACTGCTGTAATGATTCAAATATCCCCACCGTGGGACTAAAAAAAATTCAACGTCTTTATTTTAAATGTAAAATATTACATTCACAAATGCAAATGGACTAAAATGATAATGACACAGCACAACTGAAAATGGAAATCGAGACATATCAGACAATATATTGAAACATTACATAAACTCAAGAAAAGTAAAGCAATGAAAACAATTTAAATTTGTAAAGTCTTAAATGTTTTTCTTTAAAAATTGTATAACTATATTTGTTTAAGTTATTTGTATGGATTAAACATGATACAGCAATTTAAAGAAAGGCTTATCTTATCTTAAATGTACAATAAAATGGTAAAGGCACTATTTTTTGTGTTTCAGAGATCCTTGAGGATGTCATAACCATGTGGGCCGTCCAGCCAGTGTGGGGGCCAGCTGGCTTTAATGCTGGGTCTATCCTTCAACAGGCTGTAATATTTGCCCAGCTTGGGGTAACGTTCAACATACAGCCTAAAGAAAAGAAACAAAGCTATGATGTCATCAAAAATCAAGGCACTCTTGCATCATTCGTCCATACCGAACTTGGCCACCTACCCAAAATGAAACGCATATGCAGTGTTTGGAAAGACGATGACATCAGCCAGAGAGAAGGGCCCTGCCAGGTATGAGCCTGCAGCCACCTTGATGCAGAAATCAAATGAAAGAAAGCTGTCAGTATGGTGTGTGCACATATCTCTCAATGTGTGTGTGTGCTGTTCATACGCTACCGTCTGCAGGTAACCCTCCCAGAGTTGAAGTTCAGCAGCCAGAGCTTCCTTGTTTCTCTTCACAGCAGAATCATGCCTCTCCTCTTCAGGGACAAACCATTCATAGTAGACAACTGAGTCTAAGACACAATATGAATATAGTATGTGATGGTATTCACATAGCCTTGGTATTCCTGCGAGGGCTGTATGTAACTTACTGAGTTTATCAGTGAGGAGGAGACCCTCCATCATGCGTTGGTACATCAGTGCTTGTTCTGCCGGAGTGTTGGGGATCAGCTTGTTGCCTTGAGACTTGAACTGATTCTATCAAAGAAATAGAAAGATAATGTCAGTCAGTATAATGTTCCACATATTCCATATATAGTTTTTACACTTTACCTCCAGGTATAAACATGCAGCAGTGGACTCGTTGAGTATGTTGTCTCCATGTCTGAAGGCAGGCAGCTGGCAGAAAGAGGTTACAGAATATTAGCACAAGAAGGCAGGCTTTAAAGTTTGTATTGTGCAGTGCAGTTTGTGTTACAGGTAACATTACATACAGAGCATGGTCAGTAAACCTATTTAATGACAAAATACTTTATTAAAAATACCATTTGCATATCGATTACTCACCCTAGTTACACTGAATTTGTGAGATAAACTTCTCACGTGTCCACGGTGAACGAAGAATCTAAAAACAGAGAAAATTCTTGATGTATAGAAGTGAAGGGATCTGACTACAGCAAAACTACATTAACTTTATCTGTCTAAAAACTCTCACACAGCTTGTTCAGCATAATCCACGTCTCATTAATCCAGTCTTATTCCCAGTACTTCCCAATCACATGTATTTTTCATAGATGTAAAATAATAACTAGATACTGGATGACAAGATTTTTAAATCACTTTTCTTGGCTCAAGGAAAGTGTTACAAATATATAACCTACATTTTATTTCCAATTCTTTATAGAAAGAGTTGTAATTCACCTTGTTTGCATTTCGAGGTGTCCAGTCAACAGTTTTACAAATGTCCCTTTTATGATGGTGGTCTGCAGGGGAAATGCTTTTTGGGCCACACAATTTTTTGCTGCAATACCACAAGTGGCCACTTGGGAAAATTGGCAGTAAGGCTGAGCAGCATTCCTGGGGCCGTGGTATTTTTGCTAAAATATTACTAGCATGACCGGTCTAATGGACCACGCCTGGGCAAAAATTAAAGGCAGCATTGGAGGTGGGGCCCTGTTCATTCCTATGAGAGTTGCTCAGTGGCGAATGAATCCAAAAAAGCTTGATTTCCACCATATGAAATAACTCAAATCTTCCACACTGGAATGGATAAAATCTGATAAACAAGTAATTTTGCAGGGATTGTGATCCTCAAAAAAATGTATCCACTGATTTACAGATGTCTTGTCACAATGTAAGTCTATGGGAAAAAGTCTTTTTGGGCCCAATGTCATAACGTGATGGACACAGAAGTTGTAATTCCACAGTTTGGCCACAACAAAAATTGGCGTCAAAGCCCTGCACACTGCCTGGGGGCCATTTTTGAACTCTGAATTTAGACAAACATGCTTGCCCAGGTGCGTTACTCATCCGTGCGTGAGACTTTCTATGTGGAAGTGTTTTAAAGGTCTAGTGTGTAGGATTCAGTGGCGTCAAGCGGTGAGGTTGCAGTCTGCAAACAACTGACACTTCTCCCGTGTACCAAGTGTAGGAGCACCTTCGAGCTCATTCAAAGGTAACCAAAACACAAGGCTTTTTATTCAAGTGAGTAAATATTCCATTTCTGCCAATCTGTCCCCCTAAATCCTGCACACTTGACCTTTAAATAGCAAGGTTTTGGCTAAAATGCATGTGTTTAAGTACTGAGAATAAGTAAATGAGACTTGGATTATACTGCACAAGTTGTGTACGAGTTTGCAAGCTGGTGTTTTGATATGTGGTGTTTTGGATTCCTGGGTCACTGTGGAGGTATGAGAAAAACTTCTTTGCCAGTTCAGTGTAACATATGGTGAGGAAATGATACACACGATTTAGTGGGTGAAGATTTCTTCTAAATATTGCTGCACCGTTTATTAGTGTCACTGTGTGATTCCTTTGTGATCACTCTGCACATGCTACAGCACACCCACCTGCCCTCTTGGGTTGATATGCAAGACTTCCTTGGATTTGTGCTCTCCTTCCTCAAAAGACAGCAGCTTGTGTTTATAGCCCTGCAGCTTCTTCTCCTCCAGAGTGATCATAACTCTCCAGCAGGGAGGGGATCCAGCCCCCCACAGCAGAGTCATTGACTTGGCCATGGCAGGAGACCGTAGAGACAAGACGCCGATTCAATGAGACAAAATCAAATTGCACAAGTAAAGTGAGCGGCAGTTGCGCACTTTATGGCGTCTCATTGATCCAAAGGTTGCACAGTAGGAGCACACCCACATGCTCTAGTGTGTTTTCGAGAAGTGAAAGCAGTGAAGAAGAATGACATGCACCTTCTTTTTTTCACTCAATGGTTTTTGTTTTTTATTGCAGAGTGTGTATACACAGCATTTCAAGTGAAAGTGTATGTAACCATGGTTTCAGCTCACCACATCATATTTATGCAGCGATATTTCCCTGTTTTTGTTGCACTGTGAGAGGAGCAGATGGGTCAGCTGAGACTTACATTACCCACAATCCTTTTCAAGTACAATATGAGCACAGAGTTCAAAGTAAATGCCCAAATATTGCTCCCCTCTCTCAGCCCCGAGCAAACACGTGTATCAGCTATGACCACATCTGTCATTTCTTTTTATCTTTTATTACAATTCACAGAATAGCCTCTTTTTACCCTTTTCTCTCAGACTATAATACAAGTTTCTACAGAAATTACAAAAATAATACATCACATGAACCGCACTAAACATGCACACTGTAGTACGAGAGTACTTTGTACCTGGCAGCTGACAAGGGCATTTACACATTTTATGCAGAATTATCTGCATGTCCTTCAAAATAGATTATTAAAATTTAAAAAATGTCTTTATCTTTTTGTCTTTTTACACTTTACAAACAGTTCCTCTGAGATAAATACTTCCTTTTGTCTGTACTTTGAATCAGTCGTTCATTTCATCATTAGAAACTATCAATGTTGAGTAAGGTGCAACATGTCCGAGCTATGCAAATAAATATTTTGCCAAAATAAAAAAAGTTAATTCTCATCAACAGTCACACTCGACATAACTGCACCTGTGAACGTGACATTTGTGAGTTATCTGAGAAGTAGGCGGTGACTGAAACAAGATGGAGAGATGGCGAAAAGGTACAATACTGTCCCTTTTAAATGAAAGGCACACGTCAGATTGAAAACCTTTCATGTTCCTACGAAGCACAGCTACACTCGTCACTTGTCAAACGGGCAGCTGCAGAAGCAAACATTTGCCTTCTCACAAAGGATCCTTCTTAGTGAGCCTCTTTGTTTGTGGTGATCTCTTGGCGATTATTTAAAACTGGATAAGAGAACAAATTAACTTTTACAACTTAAATTCACAGCTTAAATAAATGAAAAATGGTGAAGTCACAGCTGCAAAAACTCAAGCAAAAATCATCCCTTTGGACTGATGCCACATTTCAAATGCATGTTTAGATAAAAAAAAGTATCACTTTAATATAGAGGCAGTTCACTGAATTTAAATTTTCTTTTTCTTGTTGAATACATCAGTCCTCATTTGACGCATTCTCTTTCTTCACTTCCAATTTTCTTTGTGCGGCATTAACAATAAACACTATCATGGCTGCAGCTTCATCACTCAGACACATCAGGCAAAATTAGCAGCTGGCAAAAACCTAAAGGGGTTTGTGACTGGATACAACTCTGAAAAGTGTGGCGAAGGCAGATGGCTGACGGAGATGTCGCTTTGATGATTGTAGTTGTGTTTCCACGGCGATGATCACATTTGTGCATCTGGAGAATCGGTTAGTCCTAAAGCTAGAGCTTCCTCTGGAGTCAGACCGTTCTTCAGAGTCCGCCTCACTGTGAGGAGAGGAGAGGAGAGGAGAGGAGAGGAGAGGAGAGGAGAGGAGAGAAGAATTCATATTCATATACATGTCAGAATTAGTTTGTGGTATGGAGAAGTTAAGCATTCAGGTCGTACATGACTTGCGGTTGGCCCTGGACCTCCTCCTCTCTCTGGGCTGGGCTCTGGTTCCTGGGCCCTGAGTGGCGGACCTCACTATACGCTCCATGATCTCGTCTGCGGCGTCATCTCCACAGATCGAAGCGTCCTCCACGGGTGGAGTCCATGCCTGCACAGTGCGTCCTGAACAAATCAAGCAAAGGTATGAACAACTTGTCAACTTGTCAAGTGCCCTGACTCTTGTTTTACTGTTGAATTCTCTGTGTGACCCTGTGAGGAACTTCTGGTTTCCCTCACCTCCCCTTCCAGGCCGGGATCTTGTCCTTGTCCGAAGCCCCGGGACTGCACTGACCTCCTTGTCACTGCCACTGAGGCTGGTTCTCAGCACGGCTTTCATGTGCTCGTGCTCTGCAGCATCCTCAGCGTGGCCCAAACCCTGAGGCTGCTCCACCTCCTGGCTGCCACTAGGAGCGCTGCTGCTGCTGCCAGAGCCATACCGAGCACACTGATGGAGAGAGACAGAATGAAAGAAAGTAAGAATTCAGCAGCTTGTATTTAAGTACTTTGGGCTTCGACTCAAACATGCTGAAGCATCAAGAAAAACATCCAACCTGTAAAGATTACAATGCTTACTGATCCAATCAGATGTTAAAATCAATGAAAAGGAGACTTTAATGAAAAGTGGTCCAGTCAGGATTAGTGGTTTCATGCACACGCGCACACACACACACACACACACACACACACACACACAGAGACACATGCAGGCAGCCCGTACACTTGTTGATACTTCACTCTCCTCTTCATCATCAGACTACAGGGGAAACAAAGAGTGAAAGTCAAAGAGTTGAAGAGAAAAACAGCCATAGATTTGGAAAGAGAGCAAGAAAAAGGAGTTGAAAGTCTGAGCGTGTCTGTGTGAGGGATTCTGTCTGTGTGTGATGCTCACAGGCGCGTTGACGTCCATAATCATCTTTCCTCGAGTCTTGTTGCGTTCACGGTGGTCTGCTCGTTTCTGTTTCTGTTGCAGCACGCGGTCTCGGGTGGTTCGGTACTCCAGTGCAAACTCACTCATGATTTTACTGAACCTGTGGACGCTGATCTCTCTCACACTGTAAGCCGGATGACCGAGGAACAACAGGAATGAGTGGAACCTGGGAGAAGGAGGAGGAGGAAAGGAGAGGAGGAGTGATGTCCAGATACATGTGTAGAGAAAATATGTTCTGTTAGATAGATGAAGAGAGATTGTTGTGAGGGGAACTACCTGTTGATGATCCTGCGGTGAACAATCTTGAGGATGATAATCCTCTCGGCTCAGTCTTTGAGAAAGTCAGACATCTTCTGCTTCAGCTGGGGCTTCATCTCATGCTTGGCGATCACCTTCAGGTGGTCCCATGATGCTTTGCAGCGCCGCTCCATCTGACACAGGTTCTCCTGCAGCTGGTCGAAATCCACCTGACAGGAGAGATGTTGATACAAGGGCTTTGTAGAAGGAAGGTACTTTGAGGGAATACTCTAATACCCCTGTAACTGTATTGCTTCCCTCTTATAAAGTGGTTGATATCATTCTGCTAGGCTGTAAAACATCATATAGGAATCAAAAGGAGTCACCTAATCTGTCATCGGTGACGTAGTGTAAGTGCATGATTTATCCACTTTAAATTCATTCAACTTGAAGTATAAAGAAGTAAAGGTTCCCCCGGACACAGCTCCCTTCTGGGTGCACGCTGGTGCAGGATAAACCACATCAACCAAAAGATAAATCAAAGTTCCAGAGGACACCAGGATATCCAGACACTTATTTTATTGATGGCTTACATTAAAAACAAAAAAAAGAGCGAACTATACGTTTCCCATGATGCTTCATCAGATTCGCTCTGTGCTTAACTGCTTTGGAACTTTGATTTCCTTTCTGGTTCAACTTAAATTTTGTTGACCTTTTTCTCAACAACCCAGTTTTACATTACAAGAATTCATGAGCAGACTTTAAACAAATTATTCAAGTTCTAAGTTCACTTGCTATAACTCACATTTTCAAGGCAGCAGGTGCATGTATGTGTTTAAATTGAACCACCTTGAAAATGTTTTAATGTAGGGATGCAAAATAGTGCTCATACCATTGACTGTATAAAAATAATCAAGGTAGCAACTGTGATGTCACCCATTGGTTTGTGCTCTTCCATTTTAAAGCCTTGAGTTTGTCATTTTGGAGACTGCCTTCTTGGATTTTTGAATTAGCTAAGGTGACCCTTTGCAGACAGTCACTTAAAGTGGCCACGCCCTTAATTATGCATAAATGTAAGCCTTAATCAAATTTAGAATGGTGACTTATATGAAAATGAACAACCTGTACAGCTGTCGTGAATGGAAAAATATGCTATAGAGATCAAAATTGTTTTCTTGTACCAGGCTGTAAACATGTTTATGGAGGAACTGCAGATTTTGGCACTTCCATGTTGGCTTTATGTTTTAACCCTAGAGGTTGCTGCTTCATCTTTAAAAGTTTTCCATTAGTGCGAGTGAAGCATACCTTTGCAGATCGCGTGATGGCTCCAATCTCGGAGTAGAGGTCGGTGCTCTGAGGGAAGTTCTCCACCACCACAGAGCAGGCGTGATGCAGCAGCGACTGCTTATGAACCGTGTCCTTCACCTCTGGAACCTTCTCCAAATATGTCAGCTCGAAGCCTTTCGCCTGGATATATAATCGAAGAAATAATGATTGAGCTCAGGGTTTGTCTAATGAGGTACATGTGTTCTCACCAGATTATAGTGGCTACCTGTATGTGATGTAATTTTTAATCTGCAAATTACAGGCTTAGAAAATACACACTACAATTACTACAAACTACTACAAACAAGAGACGTTTGTCATTATGTCCTAGTGTGATGAGCCTCTAATGGTCATGACTCACATTGGTGCCATTGAGAAAGTTTCCCATAGAGAGCAGTGTGGAGAGGATGTAGCGGAGAGTTTTGTTCTTCTCCAGCTGTTCCATACCCTCCTTCAGATCCTGCAGAGGCTCTGCAACTTCCTGAGATGAAGGAAACACACACACACACACACACACACACACACACACACACCCACATCATTAGCTGAGTCAATTAAGACTACAAAAAACATGTGTTTCCTTAATGTATGGTTATAAAAGTGGTCAACAGGTGCACCGTGTCTTTCACCACATGACATCTGTGTTTGAGGTCAGGACAGGTTGTTCGAAGGTCGCTGTCTCGGTCAGTCTTAGCTATCAAACGTGCTTCTGATTACATGAAGCATTTGTTTTTGTGCTGCTGGTCTCTCCTGTGTGCATGTGTTTGTGTGCCTGCACGGTATGTTGCCCTCCATTAAGCCTCCCACTGCCAAACCATCCCACAGAGTCGATTCGGGAACGGCGATCTGCTGAACGTGCAGTCAGGAATCGTGCCTTTCATTGAGATTAAAGACAAATGCATCCTGCGGAAAGCCGTAAAATTTACAGGAGGGGCGGTATGTTTCTCATTCTCAGGGTTTTGACTTTGAACTTCTCCTCCTGGATGCATTCTTTGCCCGAGTAAAACATGATGTACCACAGGAAGACAAGGTGCTGCTAATAAGCGTGCATATTTTGTTATGATCCTATGATGTAACTATGTTGATGTTTTGCGGATGTTGTTTGTACTACAAGGGATGTTGATACTTACTGACACGGGCACAAGGCACACACAAACGCACACATGCCGTGCACATTTAGTCAAACCTTTATGGTGCAGACTCAGAGTTCATTTGGCTTTGTGTGTATGTCTGTTTCTGCTTTAATCTCTTCTCCTCCACCCCACAGACCGATTTTTGTCTTGTGTAGGGTAAGACAAGGGATCTTAAGGGGAGATAGCAGGTCCCAGTATGAACCACATACAGGTGGTACACATCATCTAAAAAGCTTGGGACCTCAAGATTCATCTGAGATGCAGCTCAGAAGTGTGTGTCAAGTTTTTCTTGTCATTAATATGTCTTAATTATTGTGTTACGGCCTCTGAAAGACAGTAATGTGGTTGGGCCTTCCCTCCTCTACATTCTTATGAAAAGAATCTACCTATTCTTTTTTTCCAAGTTGTTATAGTTTGATCTAATCACTACAGCACTGTCCATGTTCATACAGACCTTCTGGGTTGCCTCATAGTCCAACTTGAAGGCCCAGAGTTGGAGTCGGGCAGAGAGCTCGCTGATGGAGGACAGAGTGAGGAGGAACTGCTCTGCTGAGCCCAGTGGGACATCAGGGTTGGCCAGCTGTGCCTCCTGGATCTTTTGCTTCTCCTCCTCTGTGGGGATCATCGTCAGGATTTTCTGATGGCAAGGAGAAATTGGGATCAGAGAGGATGGCAGTATTTATACAGATGATGGGTGTTAAATAAGGGGATGAAGGATCTGGGAATTCTTTTTCACCATCGTCTGTATCCCTCACCTCTATGCCCTCCTTGTTGAGTGCGTACTCGTCAAAGTTAAGGATGGCCGTCTTGATAGTGCGAGGAGGAGGCAGCACCGTCAGACCGATGTTGATGGTGTTACTCCTCTTTGAATCCAAAACGATGATCTCCTGACGCTTGCCGTCTGCTGCTGTTTTCTGGTACACAAAAATACATCGAGGGTCACTGCTTTGTGTCGCTTTTCTCAGTGTGGTCTGCTTTATGGGTTTGTAAGGATTAGAGGGATCATCGCTCAGGTTACACTGACTGCAGCTTGTAGGGGCCGGAAATACCATTACAGTTAAGTCTTTACAGTATGTGTGTTTATGTGGGTGTTTGCATAAGTCTGAAGTCATATTGTCACTGCATGTGAACACATGACCTCACCCGCACTTGAGGCTATTATAGGCTATAAATATAAGGAAGTCGTAATGTGTCAGCACATAAACGTGTAACAGAGTAGGTGTTAAGACCTGGTTACTGCCACCAGGAAGTTTTATACCCATCCTATGGAGGCTGGAAGACTTACACTACAGTGCAACTCTGGCACTACTGAGTTGTTACATCTTACAGTTGATGCTATAATGATATGTAGGACTAACGTTTTTATATTTTCATTGAAAATTCTTCAGTGTATTGGTTATATTTAATGCCTGTTTGAGTGTTTTATAGAATAGATTAACATACTTGTTAATGAGATGTACTCAAGAAAGTGAAACATGGAGCCTATGTATGCAGAATCTGTTGTCAACGGGACAAGATTTTGGTATTGGAAGCATTATGGTTTCTGTTTGTGTTCCGAATTGTACTGACGAATGACGATTGAGTGGCAACTAAACAGTTCGTGTTGGTCTAAATGCAGTCTAGGAATCCATCGGCTATCGTCTGTGGATGATTTGGCTTTTTATTAGTTTTTTGTTTGTTTATCAAATGAGGAGGTCTTAGACTGGACATCTGCTGGCTATATCAAAAGCCCCGAAATATTGGCTGTTGCCACCGGAGGATTATTGTGGTAAGACCAACAGCTGATGGGCACCGAGATTGGGCTGCAACTAATGATTAATCCATTATCAATTACTGCCTATTGTTGCCTTGTATAATGAATTTGTCAATAAAATATCAGAAAAAAAATAGTTTTTCTGATCAACTTATCAATTAATTGACTAATTGTTGCAGCTCTGGAATAATGTTGGTTGTAAGATTAATCAGATGGATAAAACTGGTAAGAGATCGAAAAGAAGCAACGTTTAAAATCCAGTACAGACTGATCATTGTACAACCAAGAAATACACCTAACCAAATTATTCAAACCACAAAGGGTGAAAATCTACATGAAACTGGTTTGAACCTTTTCAGTCTCTAATTTTTAATATCTAAAACACAAACTCTACATTCTGATGGGCGAGGTAAGAAAACTGTAGAACCAAAGGAGAGTCTGCCAAAACAGCCTCAGTAGAGTTTGCCCTGACCTCTGGCTTCAGTATTCTGGTGGTCCTTTAAACCCTGATTTCTCTCATTAACTGGCAGCTTTGCTTGAGCTGTTTCCATACTATAGCTGGAGACCACCATCATACAGTCACAGTACGTGTGAAACAGAAGCCGAGTTGAGGTTAGTTACTAAAATGGTTCGGCTCTAACCAAAGTCTCGGAGTTCAAAGTGCGGGAGGCCTGGTTTCAGCTCCCCATGCTAGCAGACCATACTTTTCTTATTTAGAGGCTTTGAGAGAATTACAAAGGATTCAAACCTCCCATGTTTGATCAGGATCAGGACACACGTGACCTTGCTTAACCGTTAAAACATTCAACAACTTTCGTGTTCTGGAGATGATGGACACCAAACCCATGGACTTTGTGGCTGGCAAAGGAAAGGTGTTTGTGACAAAGATCTCTTTGCCCTCTTTTTAATCTGGTATGGTGGAACCACATTTGAACATCAATGACTTACAGACAAATATATAAAGTTGTAATGTGTAGTGGCCATGACGTACAACTTTTAGTGAAACCTCAATGATGTGATGAAACATGAACAAACTGCATACATTTCATATCATACAGTGAGTCGATAAATTGGTGTCTTTATCTTCTTTAAACCCAGATCAGGCACTGGTTGTTTACCTTTGTAACTGGCATTTCCTTTGATTTCGACTCAAACAGGTGTTCCAGTTTGGCTGTGTCAATTTTCACTGGATCCAGTTTGGACCAGAGCGAGTCTCCGCTCCGTTTGTAGTCCCTGTACTGAGAGTCTGTCGGACGCACCTGGTCACAAACAGAGCAAAAGTCGACTACATTAGGTAGAGACATGTGTCAGACAACCCTTTCCTGCAATAAAAGAGGTAAATGAGAGACTCTGAACACAAAGAACCACAAAGAACAGCACTGTGTCTGTGATGACTCCTTAATTGTATCTGGTAAATGAAAACATGATGTCTTCTAAGAGCTCTTGATCTGCAGGAACTCCAGCCAACAACACAGGTCAAATATTTCTGAAGAATGACACTCTACTTTCAGTTATCATCTTCTGAATAAATGCTGTGTGACACTGGATAAAAACAATGATAGCTGTATCTGATTGACGGGAAACAGTAGTTGTGTCATGACTTACCTCACTCCAGAAGAGCCGTATTGTCTTCTTCTTCTTGTTGAAGAGTGGAGGCTCTGGAGGAGGAGGCACTGGAATTGGGGCACTGAAGGAAGGGGGAGGAGGAGGCCTCATAATTCCAATCAGTGGAGGGGGTGGGGGGCAGCTGCCTAGCATGGGTGGAGGTGGTGGGAAGCAGGGTATACAGGGTGGAGGAGGCGGTGGGGGCGGGAGGTCACCGCATCCTCCCATCAAAACAGCATCCAGAATGTCCTTGTCGTCTTCCTCCGTCAGGTCGGTGAAGTTAATGTCCCCGATGCGCAGCTCTCGAGGGCTGGCCAGGAGCTGGTCCCAGATCGTATCTGATTCCTTTTTGGGTGGAGGAGGAGGGGGCTCGTTGGCTGGGACATCCGGGTGAGGGTGGGGCGAACCGAGGTCCTTGATCAAGTCTCCAAACCGCTCGGCGAACGGTCGGATGGTCCCATGGTGCTCTGTCCTGTCAGCCTTGCGGTCGCTCTCCTGGTTGTCGTCCGGTTGCACGTCAGCATCCTCCAGCGCCTCTTTGTCCTCCCCCTCTCCTTTTTCCTTCTCCTTCTCCACATCCTCCTCCTCTTCCTCCTCATCACTGGGCTTCTTGTTCTGGGAGTACAGCATGTCCAGCATGAAGAGCTTGCTGTTGAGGAGTTTGCTGCACTGCTCGTTTACCTCTGCCTCCTTAAGGCCTGAGAGAGAGAGGTTGATGGGGTTAAAAGGAGAGAGATATATGAAAGAGTGCTCACTGAAAGAGATGATGGACAATATGGCATATAAGTGATATCTTAAATGTTTTTAGGTTATGTCATGTTACACAATTTATACGATAATATGCTGATATTTTGAAATCTCCTCTAAACTACTGTAGACTACTAAAATACTGAGGAGAAATGAGGAGGGAAATGTTAAAAAGCCTTTATTGCGGTGGCTAAATCATTAAAAGAGCCAACAAGTTTCGACCACTGCAGGTTCACTGTTATAATAAAGTTAAAAAAGTACTGGATTAATGAAATAAATCAAAGCGGCGCTCTTATACTGAAGCACTCAGCTCATCTCAGGATGGTTTGTGGATGTTTTTGCTGTGAACTTGAAGCTTCAACTGGTGTTAGCAATTAGGGGAAAGCAGCAGACAGCAGTGCGTGAGGAGTTATTCACTGTTAGCCGGAAACAAACAAACTGCTCTCCAGTTCATATAACAATAATATTTCCTCATATGCTCACACACTATCAACCAGGAGAGAGTGATTAGATGGATGGGGGAGTGTGTGTGTGTAAAGCCTAGTTCACATTACACTATTTTCACCGCGATTTTGACGTCGCAGAGGATCTTGAGAGCCACCTTGGGTCGGAGGTGAGTCGGCAGATAGTCTGCCACGACGAGTCCTCATGTGTGAACAAGCCTACGAGCAAGTCGCCCCCTTGTCTGTGACTGGGACTGGATATCTGGCATGCTAGAATACTGGAGAAGTCTGATACGACTGACAAAGAGCAACAGCCAATGAGAGATGGGATACGTCCCACGTCAGCACGCAGGAAGACGGAAGAAATGTGAGGAGGACAAGCCACAGGGTTGCCACTTACAAGGTCCGCTTATTAGCCGCGACTTTTGGTGTGTTTCTAAAGTGGAGTTGCTTATTTGGGCTTGCTCTCTAAACGTCACCTTTCTCTCTATATATCCGTCTAATAAGTTATTTAAACGCATGATAGTCGCTTCTTTTGGGCTTGTTTCCATAGCCCTGGTTGCTTGTTTCTCCCCCAAGATCTGGCAACACTGACAAGCCGGCAATCAACAACAACAATGGTGGTGGCCACAGGATCACGGGGAGCGCGTTGTGTTTGGACCCAGGATAATAAAGAATATCCATGCCTTTACGATGTGTCATCTCCAAGTTTGGTGACGTCACCACGTTATCTGGGGCTCTGTCGGCGAGGGCCCGGTGGAGAAATCTTGTGGTGTGCACACACAGGTCATAACGCAGTTGGCGAGAGTCCCGCTGACAGAAACACACGTCGCCAGGTATGAACATTCAAAAGATTACGATAGTCTCTGCGACACAAAATCGGGGTGAAAATCGTGTAATGTGAACTAGCCTTAAGTCTCATGCCTGAGTACAATCGATACATCGCCCGCCTCTTAGCAATTTTATCATGTTGTTTGTGGCTCTTGAGGGAGTTTTTTGAAATGAAAAAATGACCGTGACCATGTAATTAGGGAGATCTTGGTTTTGGCTTGACACCTAAAATTTTGACCCTTTTTCTTTCAAAAACTAAAAACACCTCTCTGGGCTGCAGGCAAATGTGCACAAGGGTCGCTTTGAGATGTTTGCATGACTTTTTATTTGTTTATATGTTGTGTGTTTATCTGTTTGTCCCAAAAGGTGGTGAATTAACCTGATCAAATTGCTTGACACACAGGTCACACAACACGTTAGTGAGATTTGGGAGGTGTACTCAGTTCCTGTGCCGACCTCTGCCCATTGTTTTCAGACTACAATAGACTGTCGGTCTTGACTTGAGGGTTTACATCCACTGTTGTCTGCAGCACAACACCCACTCAAACATTGCTCAGTAGCAGTACTGTAGATTAAATATTCCACAGTTTTAACATGGCTATAATTGTGTGAAACAGTTTAAGTTTTGAATGAGGGTGATGCTTTTTATATCGGCAAAAACATGGTCATTTAGTGCCATTAACAAAACCTAATTTTGAATAACGATTAAATAATACATGTCAGAATACAGCTAATAATTTCAATTATTTCAAGAGAATGAAAGCTGAATAAAATCCTTAAAAGCATCTTACTGACTTAAAACTAGATCTTGAAACTTGAATGTTAGTTCACAGTGCAGTGCAAAACTACCCACCATTCTCACTGCTCCCCCTCTCCTCTCTCTCCAGAGTGCTGCTGGCGGAGGAGATGCTGGAGGCCGAGCAGTTGTCCTTCTCATTCACTTCCTCATTCTGTCGCTCTTTGTCGCTCAGGATGCCGCTGTCCTCCTCCGCCTCCTCTTTCTCCTTCTCTGGTTCCTGCTCACACTCTTCTCCTTCCTCTTCCTTTTCTGCTGCTGCTTCCTCCCCTACTTCCTCCTGTACTTCCTCTGGCGCTTCCTCCTCTTTCTGTTCTTCCTCCTCTTCACCAGTGGCCTCTTTTTCCTCTGTTTCTACACTGGCACTGGAGTCATCCGCCTCTCCTGTCACATAAAAAAATCTGTTACTTTCTTCTCTTAAATGGCTGTTTACTTTCTGTAATGAAATACGGTTTCAAACATGTGACATGGCCGGCGTTGATGTCTGCACATGTGACGCCCCTGTATCAACACACATTCACGCACACACTAATAAGAAAAACAAAACACACACCCATACGCTAATGTAAACAATATGGCAGGTACAGAAAGCCAGGTTGTTGCAGGACCAGGATATGAACAGGAAATGAAGAATTAAGTTCCTGTTTATGTCAAAACACACACAAACACGTAACTCAACAGTACAGTCCATGCAGTGATGCAGGCAGGGTTAGAATAACACGACACTGTGAGGCCTCATACACTCTCCTAAGTGAGCTACAGTACCTCAGCTCGTGGCTGCACATGCACTCTGCTCCAAAACAAGGCTTTTTTCTTACACAAGATGTTTTGGCATTACACTTTCAAAAAGGTCTTTCAAAAACCCATTCGACCCTTTCACCCATATCCTCTCTCTGTGTGTTTTTTCTGCCCTCCTACCCCCGATGGTGTTCCCTCCTCTTTCTCAGTATTTTCCACAATCTGTCTCGCCTCCCCTTCTTCTGCTCGGGCCTGCATGCTAATTTAAATGTCAGGCTGCAAACTGAAACAATTTAAGGTTAAGAATGATTGCTTTGTGGCGCACTGTTGGGACTTGAACTGACGACCTTCTGGTTTTAATTGTAAGTCCCCAAAGTGTTAACCAGCAGAATTCAAAGTCATTCAAGTGCTCTGAAATCTTTGACACAGGGTGCGTTTACATGCACACTAATATTTCACTATTACTCTGAATATGACAATATTCCAAATTTAATACAGATCACGTAAAAAGCATATTTTATTTGGGTATTGTGAATAAGGTGAATCAAGCATTTTCCGATAAAGAGATGTGGAGTTTGCCGGTATTCAGATTTTAATAGCATTTTCTTGGGCATGTATACAGTGCGTTTGGAAAATCCGGCTAAGTTGAGGGTTTTACCACAGTTTGCGGCACATGCCATCTTGCCTGTTTACGGTCAGCTCTGTGCGTTGTCATGGATACCCTGTACACAAACCAACTTGCTAACAGTTTGTGAGACTGGGGTAGAGATGCACGCCCAAAAGAAAAGCCCATGTTTGCAGTCGGATTGAGAAACAAACTTACTTTCAAACATTTTGAGAGAATGGGATATAAACAGGGTTTCAGATATGCACAGATATCGCAATGCTGACGTTTTCAAGAAGGTGGATAAAGGAATGAAAGAGGGAGGCTGTGTTTGCACAGCTGAACAAGTCCGACACAGGTGGAAAACTGTTTTAAAAACACAAGCGACAGCCGTTTCACTTTTCCACATTTTAACGTGATAAATGACATGTTGGGGCACAGTAGTCAGAGTATGCACAGCTGCATGTAAACGGGAATATTAGTGGAATATCAGTTTTAATCAGTCACGTAAACAGCTTAGCAGGAATATTGTCTTTTTCGGGATAATGGCAAAAACATGTAAACATAGTCAGACACCACCTTAAAATTATAATCCTCGAGATTTTAAGTCGAAGCCTCCCATTTTTTAAGCTATTAACGTCGCAATAGCTAATCAATATATACATTCATCTATGAGATCTGTACATAGTAACAACAACAAGTAATAATAGTACGAGTAATAACAACAAGAGTTTGTTTGGCTGCACTGTAAACAGATACACCCGTTTCTCTTCTACGAGATTCTTTACAATGTAGCTACTCAAGCAGTGTTTGTAAGTATGACAGTTTAGAACGATAATTACCGTTACCACGGTAACCAAAGATGTCGCTAAACCAACTATGATTATTACTTTATAGGTATACTGTGTGGGATTGTCAGTTACAGTTTGTACACACACTTTGCCAGCGAAAGTGAAAGTAAAAGCCGACATCAGATTCAATCTTGTTTTCGTCCGCTACCTTTTTAAAAAGCCCCAACCATGCCTGAGTGCTGTGGGGGTACATGGACATAAACATCCCGAACACAGAAAATCAGAAGAAAATAAGAATATACAGGTGAAGAGAGGAGATAAATTCTGATAAGTCATAAGTGATGACTGATAGGAATGACTTCTTTATGAGTCTATACATTGTTCTTTAGGAAACTCCTGCATTGTATATCTTTAAGGTTTGTTAAATTCAATGTTTCTGCCACTGTTATGCATAATAAGACCACAAATTGTTTTCTATAACCCCTTTCGTTCATATTAATAGTAGTGGTCATAGTAGTGTTAGTGCAAACAGTACTAAGAGGAGAAACTATTGCAGTTTATCAATCGGTTTACAAGACTATTTTCTATCTACCACATCTCTCCATCTGAGCACTTTGGACTTGTTAATAACTCACATCCCCACAGAGACACCATGTTATTACTCAATACTGCGCATAGCACGTCATTATATAACATCTACTCCATCAAACAGTATTCTCAGTTGTCCTACCAGTCTCAGAGGGTGTGTAAGGGGTGGCGGGGGTCTGGGCTTCAAGGTCAGCCTCTGTGTCCTCCTGGGAGGCGAAGGAGGATGGGGTGCTGCTGCGAGATGACGAGGGCCAGGCCTCCGAAGGCTCAAAGGTCAGGTTGAGGTCGGGGCGAGTCCTTGACACGCGGACGTGCTCCCTTTCGAACTCCTCCGCTGCCAGACGCTCCACGTTCTTATACCTGAGAGAGAGGGAGGAGAGGGAGGATCAGAGGAGGCAAAAATAGACTACAATGCATCTTCTGTCTCGCCTTTCTACGCAGCGCTGCTCTCAGTGGTGGTCTTTGCCAAATTGCCTTAAACTAGTTACCACTTTGCCCATTTACTTGAATTTAGCACAAACTTCCAACTGTCTTTGTTTACCTTAAAAACACTCAGACCTGCCATGCCAATCCTCTACCTCGCCCCATTTATAGGCCACAAAGCAGTCATCACTCATGTCCTGCAGGCAACACTTCCACCATCCTGCTCTCCTCTCCTGTCTAGCCAAATTCTTAGCTATCACAAGCAGTCCAAATATGCAACCAGAGGGAGTTTGGAGAAGAAGAGGCAGTGTTAGGCAGGAGAGTGGAGAGGGAAGGAGAATGACAGGGGAGAAGAATGGGAGAGATGGGGAGAAGTTAATGCTAGTTTGGCTGGTGAAATGCCAAACATCAGAAGTGAATCAGAGTAAACCTGTTCAAGATGTGCCTCGATGAGCTCTCCTCCCTTGTCCTTATCCTGTCTCCTCTTGTCCACCCTCTTCCTCTCTTCCTTCCTCTCTCCCCCTACCAAACTTTACCACTCAACCTGCCAGCCAGGGCAGAGATTTATGGCACTGAGTCAAACCTTTCTCCCCCTCTCTCTCTGTCTCTAACCCCTCCTCTTTCCCACCATACCATGAATGTGTGGAGCTTCTGTTCAGAGTTCATTAGCATCAGGCCACTTCAGAGGACTGGGGAAACCAGATACCAATAAATGTGTGTGTTTGTGTGTTTGTGTGTATGTGCATAGGATTAAGAGTGAATAAAGTTAGTTAGTTTCTTCCTTCAGCCATTATTATTGCAGCAAAAAATATCTATTAAATTGAAAAAAAAAAGCAATTGATTTTTTTTATTCTTAAAATTTAATTTGTATTTGTAACATTAATAATTTAAATAATAAGAAAATCAATACTTGGCATCTGTGTATCGATCCAGTATTGCCACACAAAATATCACAACGCTGTGCTGTATAAATTTTTCCCCTCATCCCTAAATGCCACGAGCTAAAACATCAACATGCTAACACATTTAGCATGTTGATGTTTACCATGTTCACCATCGAAGGCTACATTCAGACTGCGGGAAAAAGTGGCCCAAAATTGGTTTTGGAATATGATCTTTTCAGTTCTCATTTTCATATGTGGTCCTAAATTGGATACCTGATTTTTTTGCAATGGGACCCCACTCTGAACCATTATATCAGAATTCATGCTGCATTTACATCTCTGCATGTCATGCTGTGAGAGTCTTGTGGAGAAGCGCTGATGGATGTCGTTAAAACTAACTCTTGAAATCTGTTTCAGTGAGGCCATTAACATCACAATCCCATCACTCCTGCCTCGGACTCTGCATCCACACATATCCGTGTAGAAGCACAAAAGCCATAATTAAAAATTTGGCTCTTTATCTCCTCATCTTCGTCCTTGTTATCATCTGCTCACAAATTCGCTGGCTTTCACTGCACATCAGCATACAACAGCATGCTTTTATTGTTCTTTTACGCATGTGGGTCAGTTCATGGCTGTGACCAGTCTACACTGGAATATGATATTAGCCACATTTTAAAAAATAATATGAACAGCCAAACATAAAAATTGGGTATGAGCAATATCTTCAAACTGAGCATTAAGGCTTGCAGTGTGATTGTAACCACCCCTGTAGTTTGGGGTGTTGGCATGTGAACATTTGCTAATTAGCACTTTGCAACTAGCAACTAAATAATTAGGAAAACACAGTACAAATGAGGCTGATGGAAATGTTACTTTGCAGGTGCGGTGGCTTTACGAAACCAAAAAAAATGTGCTACATGCTTCAGGAATCCAGTTTCAGTCCAACTCTAGTGTGTCAGCAATCGTTTTTGGACACAGTTGTCCGTCATTACGGCCATTATGTTTCATGCAGGTTACAGTGATGTATGTTGTCAGACAGATACATCGCTCAGGGAGGTGAGCTGAAGGAAAAAAACTCATGTTGTCCTGATAACCATGAAATACACCATGAATACATTAACCTCTCCAGTGAATACATCTCCAACGTGCTCTCTCAGCTGCTTATCTCAACCTCTGTCTGTCTTGTGCTTGTTTCCTCCATCTTTTGTCGAACCAAGCTGCTCTCGGTTTATTCTTCCTTTCGCTCTGACTCTCTGACATTGTGTGTTATTGAATCAGCGGTGCTTTAAATTGAGGGCGAAACAGCTCTGAGCCTACAGGAAAAGCGACAGCACTTGGCACAGTGCATAATGCTATAGTGTAATAGTTTTCAGGTTAAAGGGGTTGGAGAGGGATTCTGAGTCGCTGTATAATATATGGCTGCATCGAGTACGATCAGTCCTGAATCTGATCGTGACCTCACATACCCTCTTGAGTAAACCTCTTGCTTCCAGTGATTCCCATTTGTACACGAACATATATTTATTAGCCTCATGAAAATTCTTTGTGTGTGTGTCTAAACGCACACGTGCTCAAGTAAAACATGTGTCTGTGTACGTGCATGTGCATTCAGCGTGAAAAAGCTTGACAAATCCTGGAATCTGATTTTCTCACAGCATGCAGCCAAAACAATCAGGCCCTTGGCAAAGTGCGGCAGTTAAATACAGCTCCTTAAGAAAAGAGAAAACAGGCAGACAGAGCAAAGAAAATCGGTTCAGTATCCCCCCGACCTTTTTAACCTGAAAACAATTACACTGTTACTGAGCTTCCCAAACCACAGGCTGAAACATATTCCCTGAGGCTTCAGCTGTTTTGTGAGTGTGCGCTGTTTTGATTTAGTGCACACACTTACCTCTCCTCCCGTGCGAGCCTGGCCTCTTCCATTTTATCCACATAGTCGCGGCTGTGAGAAACACAGAGAGAACATTTTGAACTTAATAATAATACTCTGCGCCAGTGTAGTCCTCTGTAGACCTGTCATTGTGAATATGATACGTTTGCACATCATGCACACAAGCAGTTAAGGTATTGGCGTAACCCAAAATCCACGTTTTGTATGGTAAAATCATTGATACTGTCCACTTAGTCTTTTTAAAAGTGTATCAAATACTTTATACTTTCATTTATGCAGGCACGCTTATTCTTTTCTTTATTAATTGTTGTTGAGTTTTATTTATTCCCTGCTTTAAAAGATAATATTATTTATTCTATAATAATCTATTAACATCCATCCATCCATTTTTATCTGCTTATCCGGGGTCGGGTTGCGGGGGCAGCAGGCTGAGCAAAATACTTCATATATCCCTCTCCTAAGCAACACTTTCCAGCTCTCCCTGAGGAATCCCGATGTGTTCCCAGGCCAGATGCGATATATAATCCCCTCAGCGTGCTCTAGGTCTGCCCCGGGGCCTCCTACCAGTTGGACACACTCGGAACACTTCTAACGGAAGGCACCCAGGAGGCATCTTAATCAGATACCCGAATCATGTCAACTGGCCACTTTCTTTTTGAAGGAGCAGCGACTCTACTCCGAGCCTCCTCTGAATGTCCGAGTTCCTTCACTCGTTCATTACCCAAAGCTCACGACCACAAGTGAGGGTTTGGTTATGTGAGGTAGATGGATTGGTAAATCGAAAGCTTTGCATTCCAGCTCAGGTTCCTCTTCACCCTGATGGCGCCCGCAAACCACCTATTCATCTCACACTCCATTTTACTTTCACTTGTTAATCAGACCTTGAGATACCTGAACTCCTTTGCTTGGGACAGTAACTCTCTTCCAACCCATCAATATCTACATTATATTAGTATTTATATTGTACTGTATATCTTTCACACTGTATGGTCACTGTCTGTGGCTGCAACACTCAAAATACTTAAAGTAAACACTCTTGAGTTCGATGAAAATATCGATAGCACACTCATTTTTGCTACAGCCAACCGCCTGCTCACTAATTAACATGTCTCGATTGTTTAGTCTGTACAAATATTGAGGTGTAAAAACGATAAGTTGTGGTTTTACGGAGGGTTACTTGCAGGACTATTTCTTGGCCGAGTGCAGTGACTTTCTTGCCTTGCAGCCTCACAGTGACAACAACACTTGAGAACCATCGACTAGCGGACGATTAGGAGAGGGGGATCTCATGAAAGCCAATTTTGAGTTGCAATAAGGAAATTGTTCCAGAGCTTTTGGAGCCCTTTTGACCCATATTTTTTGGCCTCTATTGTTTCAGTTATTATTGAATTAATCTCTCTCTTGTGAGTCTCAAATATTTGCGGAGGTATAACACTAAACTGTTGGACTAAACCTTCAGATTAGTTACATTTTTTTTAAATCTATACTCTCAGTTTGAACTGCAAAAGACTAGACAAGCCCAGCAATGCTTCACCTGTGTTTGTTCCTCTCCTCTCTCTCTATCCTCTGCAGTCTCTCCTCTCTCTCCACGCGGCGGCGCTCTCGCTCAGCCGCCAGAGATTCCTGATGTTGTCGGTACGAGGACGACAGAAGACCTCCCAAAGCAGGCCTGAAGGAAAGAGATAGCAAAGAAAACAAAAAGACAGACTGAACCTCAAATATACTTTTTCTGTGTCACATTTAAATTCCATGCCTGAAGCTTTGAGGAATGCCTCTACACCTCGTCAGTACGGACCTGCAGCTTGTGGTCTGAAATGTTCTTTTTCTCTCTGCTTTTGTTCTGCCTACTGTGTTTTTGGCACAAAGGCAACATTCATACGTTGCCACATGGATAATTGCAATCAGATGCAAAAAAAAGGCAAATTGCACTCAGCTGCAAAACGTCACGAGCATGTTTGTGCTGTAATATCATTAGCACAGTATCTTTTGTGAACTGTGCCGGGGCAGAGAGACGGGGCAGATAGTGACAGAGGAATACTTTACTTCACTACAATGTGACAATCAACATTTCCTCCAAGAGCAATGTACAAAAGATTTAAATGACGCTCTTGCTGCACCACTTTGATGCAACATGATAGTTCAAGCAGCTAAATCTGTTCATGAACATAACACAAAACATGCTCCTTGCATACACAGAGCTTCTATATGTGTGTCAGTGTGTATGTGAAGCACCATAAATTATGTTTTAATGACTTTATTCTCCATGGAGGTAATAGGAGCCACTTAGTAACTGGGGAACCAGAGAGCTGAGATCACATTCACATCAATATGTCATCACCATAAATGCAACACATGGCTGCACACAGTCACACATGTGAGTGTGTGTTTGATTCTGCAAACACACATGAATGTGAACTTGTATGCGAACATGTTTGCAGTACACGAGTGTGTATTTTAAGGATGTCATGTGCAGGCACATGCCAGTGGAGTCCTCTCACCTGGAGCTGGTGGGCGTACTCGGGCTGCTGAGAGACGAGTAGGAACTGAGACCTCCATTCCTGGGTGAGAGAAGGGGTGAGAAAATGGGTGACAGTGAGTGACCTCTCCAGTCAAGCAGTTACACGACACCAAACTGACTTGTGCAGAGCTGGTGGCGAGGAACGAATGTGACACCTTGTTACATAACAGGAATGCTGCTGGTGCAACACCAGAGTGACCCTAATTTGTAATGGCTGTGGTGTTTATTCCCATGTTTCTGGAAAATTCCAGGCAAGGTGTTCCGCCTCACTTAGAGTCTCCTTTGAATCTGTAAAAGACCCTTTACTAAAATATATTTATCTTAACAAGTCGTTCAGCAGGCAACAATATTATTTTTTAAGCTAACAGTAAGTTAGCTAAGCAAACAGGGCTGTAAGTCTTAGCATCTGAATATAGGGTTATCATAACAGGCTATATATGGATCCTATCCATCGAGAAGAAAATCTTACACATCAACACAGTGAATGGGGAAAGTAAAGTTGAGAAAAATCCACTGAAATAATCAAACTCAGAAGCAAAGAAAGAGACTACACAGATATACAGGCACTGTACTTGTTCTTGAAAAGAAGGGAAATGCTGTGGCATTGGGAAACAGGGGGTTGCAAACAAGTGCTGATTATCCAAGGATTGACAGAACTAAGAAAAGAGATGTGAAGCAACAAAAGGTGATAATAAGAAACTGACATGCTGAAGGTGAGAGGCTGTGCAGTCGAAGAAGAGAAAAGAACTGGTGACGAGGGGAGGTGATGAATAACAAAAGTGGTGCAAAGAGATTCAAGATGGTGCAAGGATAAAAGCCAGAAAGTTGGAATTGAAAAAGGAAAAAGCGGAACGCCGAAGAGGTGCAAGGAAAGCTTTCTGTGCTTCTTGAACTCGTGGGAGATTGAGCTCTGCTGTCCGTCTGACCTGGGAGACGTTGTTTTGGGTGACTCCTCGTTGGGTGGAGCTGGGGGTGATGGCTCCTCATCTAGGTCGTAGGAGAAGAGGTGGAAGGGGGAGTGGGGCAGGTAGGGCAGGTGTTCCGGGGAGGGACGGGTGCTGCCCCGTGATGGCGGGCTGACCTCCTTGGTGGCTGGGACTGTGATGATGGACCTCTTCCTGGCCAGCAGGGTGGCCAGAAGGGAAGGCTGGGCCGGGGGGCTGAGAGGGGAGGAGACGGGAGGAGAGATGGTGGGGGTAGAGGGGGAGTGGAGGGTGGGTGCCGGAGGTGGTTCAGTCCAATTCCTCTGCTCCTCCTCTTTTATATTCTCCTTTCTGGAAGTGATGGTGATGGACTGGACGGTTGTTCGGTTAACTATGGATGGAAGATGTCTAGGAAGAGAGGAATGGATTGAGAGGAATAAATGGATGCAACCCGGCAAAAGAAAGAGAAGTAGTACCATATGTACCCCACCAGAGACTTAACCAAGTACAAAGGCCACACGTAGATCACACCAACCAGATATACAACCAAAAAGCTTTGCTGCTTTATATATATTAACCCTCTACATTTCCATGTTACCACCATGTCCTAAAATACCTGAGGGTGGTCAGATTAGACACTGTATCAGCCCCCTCCTGCTCATCCGAATCAGACTCAGTCACTGGAGTCTCCTCTTCTTCCTCCTCCTCCTCCTCCTCCTCCTCCTCCTCCATCCCATCCTCACATTCCTCCTCTCTGTGGAGGCAGAGGGGGGATGAATAGATGGATGGGTGGAACATTTAAGGGGAGGACCGAGGGAGAGATGATGTGATACATGAGAAAAGCATGCAAATAGAAAATCACCACACTTTTGAAGAAATGAAGAGATGGAGAGGGGAGAGATGGAGGGTTAGATGAGATCAAATGACACAAACATTTATGACGCTCAAAGACAACAAACGAGGACATGACATCTATGAGACTGAGATAAAGTGATAGAAAAACAAAAGAATTTAGACTCAAAAATGAAATGGGAAAGGGGGGGATGAATGTTTCCCATTCACTCCATGCCTTCTGAGGTTTTACATGCACAAGTAGACGAAACACGATGAAAAGGAAGCGAGGGAGGAATGCTAGGAGGAGAATAAGCTGTGGCTGAAGGACTGACTTGAGCTCAGTGTCACCAAACAGCTTTGTCTAGTGAAACCAGATGAGCCTTGTTGCAGTCGAGTCGGCGTGTGGTGCCAGGTGTTGTTCCACAAGAGCAGAGCCATGTGTGTGTAACGAATGGGGCGGGCAATAAAAGCTATGTTTGTTTTTCTATGTGTGCATGTATAATATGAAGCAGTCTCTGACATAACACATTTTACCCATCACTTCATTCAGTAAACCATTTGCAAGTGGATTTACACACAATCATGTCCATTTTCACTCCATTTTTAAGATACAAATGTGTGCTCGTATGCACACTCTTACACACAACCAGCAGTTTAATACTAGTGGAAGCATGGGGCATAATCTGCTTTAGTCACGTTACACGCTGACAGGATAAAGAGATGAAGGGAGGAGGATACAGAGAGGAAAGATTTACCTTGGGTAAACAGCTACAGCCGGCTCCAAATTCCCCTTTCTGTGCATACACACACAGCACTGAAATAAGCCTGTGCTGGTTTAATAATGTGTAAGCTCGTATTAGAATTACAAACCCTGAAGGCCTGTGCAGCTGCTGAGAACTTTTTTTTTTCTTTTATTGGAGCACAAGTCCACACCAGTGTTTCATTGCAGAATAAAAAACCCACTCAGAGTGCTTTATGTGACAGGAGACACACTAGGAGCTGTTACAGCATGTAGGTGAGGGGCAGTGGTAGGAAAAAAAAAGGCAAAAGGCCACAGAGGTCAGCAGCTGGCCTTTTTGGAGGAGACCTTTGAACTTACATGGATGGAAGGACACCTGACATTGCTCTGGAGCAGAAAGTGTTGGTACAAGACAGTCAGAACTTCTTTCTAGGGCTCTGTTAACACATGTAGGGCCCTATGATTTCTACAATGCCGGTATCGTGTAATTCGGAATATGGAATAAACTGTAAACCTCATACCTACAGAAAATCAACCCCTTTATGACACTCTTTCAGTCACCCTGTACTGTCAGTTCATTTTGACACTACTTCATCTGCCCCTTCACTCACCTCTCGCTCATGTCCTCAGCTCTCTGTCCATTGAAAGGCTGGAAGCCAGCTCTTTGTGGGGACTCAGGGCTGCAGGGAGAGGCGTGACCGGATCGCCCAAGAGAGGCCCTGCGGCTCCGCCTTCTCTCCAGGCCACGCTTTTTGTCCCCACCTCCTAGGCTGACTCGTCGGCGGTCCCGGCGTCCCATTGGTGGAGGCTGGCTGTCATCGTCGCCGTCTTCATGCCGTAGGGTCATCTGGGGGGAAAATTGATTAGGTGTGAAGTGTGTGTGGAGCGGGGAGGGTGACAGGTGCTTCTCACTGAGAATTTTAGCATTAAGCAAATGCACTAAAAATACTGTCAGGAGTCATATTCGTTGGACGTGAGCAGCACTTACTAGCTGATGTCAGATCTATAATAAATCAGTTTGCAATATTTTCCTGTGATGTGTTCCTATGACTTTGTGCGTCTCAAACCTCATAGATGTTGAGCTGCTCGACCAAGTCCAGATCGGTGCCTTTCCGGCCCAGATGTCTTTGGGACACTGTCTCCATGCCCTGTTCCTCCAGACCATCCACCATATCGTAAAACGAGTCCTGATCAGGCAGCGCTGCAAGTGTCTGCAAAATGAAAGGGAGACCAAGAAGTTATCAAGGTGTAACTGAAGTTTATCTTAAACATGTTGGTAGCTAAATTCCACAACACTGTAATATTGCATACTAAGTCATCTCATTTTGGTTGGGTCAGAAAATCCCTGAACAAGCACCACTAAAACTTGTGTGACCCGAGACACCTGCTCAAAAATGTGGGACATCTTGTGCATAACTGAAGATTTTAATAACAAAACACTTAAAATAACCATATAAACATTTGGTACAAAGACATCACAAACATGCACACCTTATTGATGAGTGTCATGGCATAGACTAACAGCTCCGTGTCCACTCCATCCTTCTCATGCAAGATCTCCATCGTATTGGACCACGGCTTGCATCCTGGAAACCAGTCCATTACAAAGAAAAACATGAAGTCTCTCTCTGCCCAACCACCCCTCCCTTTAACTCAACCTGGGCAACAAACCAAACAATTGCAGTTAATAGCGCAGGAATAGAAAGATAAATGAGAACAAGTTCCTCAGCAGCTGGTGGCATGTTGACTTATTTATACCTCTCTTGGCGTCCACGGAGGTGATGGCATCTATCAGCAGTGGGGCGTTGGACTCGGAGTACTCCACAAACACCAACAACAGCTTCAGAGTTGTTTTCACCACCAGTCGGAACTAGAGGGGGGGGCACGACATAAGAAACTCACACAGAGACAAGAAACAATGTACGTAATGGATATAACATGGTCATGTGATCACCATTTTTGAGATCTGTTATGGTTATTTTTCCACTGTGCTTACATCATGATAGTATATTGTATTAAATCCTCAACTTTGTTTAGGTGTGTCTAGACCAATTCATTTTATTTAAATTTACATGATAAAGATGTAGCAGTACTTGTGGCCAGGAAATACATAGTCAGTCACTCCAAGCACTTCTAGTTGAAAATCTCTGGACTTTTCAGAAAGGTGCCAGTGACATCACTGCTGCTCCTTTAGCTACGCTACTGTCTAACCACCACAACAAAGACAGGAAATCCCATTTGGGGGAGCAGGAACCGAATTTTGTCTTGTCACTGATCGCGGTGTAGTCAACTCACTGTAAATGAAGTGCCACCTAGCCACCTAAATAATGCCAGTGTAAAGATACTGTTGCCATAGAATTTGTCACAAGATTTTTCCAAAATTATCCAAAGGATAGAAACAACGCAATGTTGGGCTTCAGTCACAGGAATCAAGACTTGTACTTCAAGTGCAAAGCAGAAGTGTACCTTCAAAAATTATGAAAGTACCACAAAACCATAAAGACACCACCCTCAGGTCAGGACACAGACTACAATCAGTAGCAGATGTGTTTGTGTGTTTCTGGGTATGGCAGCTAAAAATAATGCTCACAAAATGAATGAATGGCCAGTTTAGAGCTGATGACAGTGTGTGTGGACACTGAGGTTGTTTTTTTCGGTACGTATGCTCGCCTATACCTTTGAACCAACAAGCGTGTACAGCCACTGGATCGTCTCAGCGTGCCCGATGACACCGTTCATCCCGTCTACGTACAGCATGATCTGCCCCAGTGCTGAGAAAGGGAGAGAAGAAAGAAACAGAAAGTTAGAGAGACGGGACAAATATAGACGGATGATTCATCTTTTGTTGCAACCAAACCAAGCACACCCGATAGCAACTGTGTGCAGCACATGGGTCCATCTACAGTAGCTATAAATAACAGGGAAAGCCATCAGGGGATATAGTTTCCTTCCTTATGCTTTGGGTCTTTATGAAAGCACCTAAAAGTTTTTATTGGAGGAGAATTGATAAGAGAGGCGTGTTAATCATGTTTCTGCGTAATAGCTGCTATGTTTCATTGAATTGGACATAAATCGGACATCCTGTGGGTAAAAAAATCCAGTTGACTCTGTGTTTTTTTCTGGAGTAACAGTGTATTAAATATAAAAGCATTAATTCTGATAATAAACCTGTATCACCATAGATACATGGATACTTTATTCCTTTTTAGAGGAAAGCAGCTGCTTCTGTGTTCTAGTTCGTCCCTGCTGTTGCTGCATGTCAAAGCACAGGATGGATTGTATTACACCCCAACTTTCAGAATGAAAGTGAAAGAGATATCTCTATATAAGTTCTTGTGACAAGTGAACAGAGCTTACACAGCTTTGCCGTCATCCTCCTCGACCATGTATTTGGACTCAAATTTGAAAGTTGAAGTTTTGTCTTCAATTCTTGGACAAATCGTTAAACCCTATGGCAAGAAAGGATGTCTGACAACAGAAAATATTTTGTCTGTTGATGACTTTCATCTCTACACCATCACTGGGAAACGACAGGCTTATGTGACTGAATTTTTCATCGATGAGAAAGATTTCTTTGACCAAAGGACTTCACCAATCTCTCTGACTCCTCTGAGTGTCTGAGAGGTGATGAGCCTTATGAGCGCCTAAAGGTTGGTACCGCATGGCCTTGAACGTTGGAGGTAAATATCCAGATGGAGACACCTTAGCTGGAGCCAAAGGCATCATCAGAACTCACTACAAAGCAGGCAGTGGAGCTATGTATAAAAGAGGAATCTACTCAACACCAGACATACATGTTGCTGAGAGAGAGGACTTTGCCAAAACCTTCACATCTAAGACGACGGGGAAAAGTTACAAAGTGATCCTGCAAAATCAAATCAATCGTGTTAAGAGAGAGATTTGCCAAAGATCTGACTACTGGCTCATTCCTGTTCACAAAGGAGTGTCTCCTGGGGAGGAGAAACACATAGTGGAGAGGTCTATTCGACCTTATGGCATCCTGATTAAAGAAATAAGTGACAACGACGATAGCAGCAAGCAAAATAAGGGTACCATTTGCCACAAACTAAAGAAGTTGCTACTTTCTCAGGCTCTGGGATGCCCTCACCACGGAGTATGCTCATCCACTTCATCATGAAATATTGTTTATTTTATTTTGTTGTATTTTTTGTGTAGCATCAAAGGGAATACAACTGCATTTCGTTGGGTGACCCTGTGTTTTATAATAGCAAAAATATTATCCCGTGAACCTTGATGATAGCAATGATGTTGGTACAGTGATGTGACGTTCGCGAACAAGCAGACTCTTTGAACTGGCTCTTTGAAGTGAACGAGTGAGTGGCTGCACTGTCTTTCTCCCTCACAAACTAGTGTCTCTCAACTTGTTCTGGATCAAATAATCTGAAATTAATGGATACAGAGTAAATTAAAGCAAAAAGCAAATAAATTAGGAACTGGCTCATTCACTCTAAAGAGCCGGTTCACTCGTTCACTTCAAAGAGCCGGTTCAAAGACTCTGCTCGTTCGCGTATGTCACATCACTAGTTCAAACACTGTTTAAGTAGAGCCAGAGCAAGGGTCTACTTTCTGCTGCTCAAGAGCCTTTGAAGAGATTTATTTTAGGCTTTACGATCCAACATTTACATTGACTTTCAAACCATCACCACCACCAGTATAAACCACTGAACAAAGAGCTGTGTCCAATATTCTTGGGATGGACGATCAACACCACAAACACGTTACTTAGAGTGGGAAATTTGTCTTGGGCCCTACACCTGTATTGCAGCCATAGAAATGCAACGTACAATATAGTACATAGACAAATCATTATTACACCCAACATAGAGATAGGAAACACAAAAAGATAAATAAATCAATAACATCATCTGCTAAAATCACCTCTATAAAAATGCAAATCAGCAAATCGTCATAATCCAATGCCAGATCTGACTTTATCTGCCATTGTTTAAAAGCTTTAAAGACAGAGGCATGAAAGAATTTTTAAATCTGTCTGCAACAAGGGCAGCAGCTCGTACTCCGTATGCAGAACATGAGAGGATCTTATTGGCTTGACTTAGAGTAGCCTGGTTGAAAATAGACGGCAAGGAAATGCTCTTAAACACCTATTATTGGGAAAAGAAGAAATTGTAAAAAATCTGCACAGTGATGAAGATGATCAAACTGAGTACTTGACTGTTAATTTCTTTGTGAATAACAATTAAAAATATTTAATTTTTACTTTAATATTTTTCAGAAAATAAATAGTGATTAGGAAAATGAATATTTGATAATTTATTGTATCAGTGCTCTGAATCTTTTAACTCCACAGTAACTTGGTTTTCACTGAAATTCACTCCAGGTTTTCTGTTACACCTGAAAAACATGTTTATTACTTTTTCATCCAACCCAGTATATGAATAAAGAGTTGTGAATGTATATTCCCTTCAGTGTTTCATTAGTACTGGGGTGTTAGAGTCTCTGTAGGAAATCCCCCTGAGATTTCAAAACTGTTTAACTGACACAGACCACTGAAGCGTGCCACTGTGAAACTGCACAAATAACAAAAGTCATATAATACTAGTCCTTAAGTTGATATGGAAGTAGTTTTCTTTTCAAGCCCCAATTGTGGTGTTTTCCACACAGACAGAGTTTTAGTTAGTTTTATATGTACAGTAGTTGAGGTGATTTCCTCTCACTGAATGAGCTTTGAACTCAGTATTTAAATCTTTGCAGTGCCACTCTCCCCCTGATTCATAACCAAGTTTCCTGTGTTGATGGTAGACACATTTTGAAAGAGAAAGAATCGTCTTCTTTAAGTGTGGTACATATTAACGTGTACGTGACAAGAGCTCTGCTCACACACGCCAGAACAAGAGAAGGAAACAACAGCTTTGCTATCATCCTCCTCGACCATGTATTTGGACTCAAATTTGAGAGCTGAAGTTTTGTCTTCAATTCTTGGACAAATCGTTAAACCCTATGACAAGAAAGGATGTCTGACAACAGAAAATATTTTGTCTGTTGATGACTTTCATCTCTACACCATCACTGGGAAACGACAGGCTTATGTGACTGAACGTTTCATTGATGAGAAAAATTTCTTTGACCCAAGTTATGACTTCGACTTCACCAATTTCTCTGACTCTGAGTGCCTGAGAGGTGATGAGCCTTATAAGCGCCCAAAAGGTTGGTACCGCATGGCCTTGAAGGTAAAAGGTAAATATCCAGATGGAGACACCTGGTTGGGCACAGGTGGATGGAGGAGTCACTCTGTACCTGGAGAATGGCCTGTTTCCTACCATGGAACAACCTTAGGTGGAGCCAAAGGCATCATCACCGCTCACTACAAAGCAGGCAGTAGAGCTACGTATGGAAGAGGAATCTACTCAACACCAGACATACATGTTGCTGAGGAAGAGTGCTATGCCCAAACCTTCAAATCGAAGATGACGGGGAAAAGTTACAAAGTGATCCTGCAAAATCGAATCAATCCTGTTAAGAGAGAGATTTGCCGACAATTTAACTACTGGCTCATTCCTGTTCACAAAAGAGTGTCTGCTGAGGAGGAGAAACAGATAGCAGAGAGCTCGATTCGACCTTATGGCATCCTGATTAAGGAAATAAGTGACAACAATGAAAGCAATCACAATGGAACTGGATCACTTAAAGGTAAATTAAAGGGATTCTTTACTTGGTCTATTCTGCAGTTTAAACACTTTTTAAACAAATCCAGAGCAAGTGTCTAATTGTCTGTTGCTCAAAGGCTCTTCAAGAGCTTTGTTCAGATTTATTGAATTTATTAGACAATTTCAGTATAGAATAAAAACACCAGCTCAGCCAAGGCCGTGACTAGTTTCCTGTGTCTGTTATCATACTGTCTTCTTGATGTACAATTTACATTGACTTTCAATCTACTGTATAAACCAATTAACAAAGCTGTGTCCAAATTTGTTGTGATGGAGAATCAACAACACTGACAAATTCCAATAGAAGACTGTTTCAATTGCACAGTGATAGCTTTACTGAGTAATGCAGACATTACTTTAAAGGCCTGAAAACTTTTTTTTGTCAATACGAGTCGTACGTCATCATTACTCTGTTAAAACTACAAAGAAAATTTTGTCATTTTACACAAGATTGCTGTATTTGAAGTGGCTGGGCTGGGCTGGTTGATGATAAAGATGATGATTAGCTGATGATTAACTGAGTTTGTGATTGTTAATCTCTTTGTAAATAATAACTAAAGATGTTTTGTTTCCTAACTTTTACTTGGGCACAGACAGATGGAGGAGTCGCTCTATATCTGGAAGGTGGCCTGTGCCCTACTGAGGGACAAGCTTCGGTGGAGCAAACAGGAAAATCTTTATCTGGTGATTTATTGTACCAGTGCTCTGATGATTGTAACAATTTTTAAAAATATATATATATATAAATAAAGAGTTATCAATCTCTTATCTATCATCTCTTCCCTTAAATGTTTTATTGGTACTGTGGCGTTGGGGGTTTCCTGTTTAACCTCTGACTGACACAGACCACAGAGGTGTCTTGTGAAACTGTGCTAACTGCACAAAACAAAAATGACCATAGTCATATAATACAAATAGCTTGATAAGATTTAGGTACAGAAAATGGATTTCTCTTTTTATAAGGAAGTCTGATTAAAAACACAGATTAAGAAAACACATCTTGAGTCCTTATGATAGTCAGAGATCAAAGTAAAGCAGAAAATAAAGTTGATATGGAAATACTTTTCTTTTCTAGCCTCAGTTGTAGTGTTTTCCACACAGACAGAAGTATGTTGTTAGTTTTATATGTATAGTAGTTGAGATGATTTCCTCTCATTGAATGAGCTTTGAGCTCAGTATCTATAAAAGCAACCTTTACAGTTTTTACAATTCCCTTCTTAGTTTATGACCTAGTTACTAAATGCTGTTATATGCTATTTCATTTACATTTTCCAGATTAAAATCATTAAACAACATTTGGAGAATCAGACGGGACTGTAGAAAAAGTTTCTGCTGCATCTGTTGCACAATGCACACAAAGCATTTTTTCTTTTTAAACATGTAGACCTACTGCAGCAGCCTGGTCTTCTTGCATTTTTCCCCTTGACCTTAGCAATCTGTTAAATATATTTCACAGTAATGTCAGTGCTCATTCTTGCAACACTGTGTCTAATTATGTAGATTAGAGAATGAACGAAATGATACCTCTTAATATGTAGTTCTGGTAGTTCTGGTCAGCCTCTGCTCCCACCTTGATGAGACACGTCAGACCTTCAGCCATCACAAACTCATGGACCAGATCTTTGTCATCCTGAAATAAGACAGAGAGAGGAATGGAGCATACAATAGTTTATACAGTGTAGACTGGCTGCACACACACATTGCATTCTCTTTTGTTACCACATGGTGTCAGTAATGTGCAGGATTAGGACCAAATCTGACAGTACATAAACTGTCAATCCCCCCACTGGATCAGGGCAGCTGACACACACACACACACACACCCACACACACACACACACACTACAAAAACCATGATGTTGTTTGTGATTTTGTTGCTTTTGATAGATCACCTCTTATCTGAAAAACTTAAAGGAAGCTGTCTGACCAAACACAAAGCACCGCTAAACTAATGTTGCATTCAGGTGCACTGTCAAAGCTCTGACGTCTCATTTGCACTTAGTCAATGCTTTTCTGTAAAAAATGAGCATGGAACTTGTAATTTTTGTAGAAACCAGTCAGTACAAAGCTCTATGCAGCAGCAGAAGAATCACGAGGACATGTAATAGTTGTTTTTATTCATCTGTTACTCAAGTGTCACTGCATTTGCCATCAAGTACTGACATGACTTCACGCTGTGGTCACATGGTCAAATTTTTGTGGCCGTTAAAGTGTGTGCAAATTGTACTCATGATACCTACAATAGCACCTAAATGCTGCTATAATTTAAAGTTCTCACATTGCTGTTTTTTGCTGAACTCTATGTTATTATATTTGAGTCGTCTTGTGTGCGTGTGTGTGTGTGTTCCAGAAACTGACTCCTCTCATCTTAAAATAAAGATTCACTCAAACACAAATGCAAACACCCACCAACACACACACACACACACACACACACACACACACACACACACACACTCAGACCTACACACGCCCACACAGATACACACAGGGAGAGAAATGCCACGTTGATGGAGATCCCTGTCATCATGGAGGCGCATGGTGGCCACAATAACCAACTGTATTCTGCAACAACAAACTGACAGTAATTGCATGTGAAATATGTGTGTGTGTGTGTGTGTGTGTGTATGTGTTACCTGAAAAATTTGCTTTAGAGAGAACAGAGCCCTTCTCAAGTCACGTCCGTTGGAGTTATACAGTCTTTCTGGAGAGAGACAGAGAGACAAAGAAGTGGTTATTTGTCTATAATTCAACAAACAGTACCAAGGCGTAGCAGAGTGACTCGTTTCAAAAAGCTCATACAAAATATGAGCAACAATTTTAGACAAATGTTTCCATCTGACTTGAATCCTTTTTTTTGACACACTCTGATTGCATTGTTCATTCCCCTGTGCACCTTTTAATCCCCATGTGTTTATATAGATCAATAAAACTTGGAAGGAAAATGAGTCTCAGCTGTGCAAAAGTTGCACAATAGTTTGATACGCAGAGGAACACCGGGGAGTCGATGGAACCAATCACACCGCTCGGCTCTGATCACCTGAGGCAGGCACTTCATCACACACTTTCGCCGTGTCCTCACTCCCAGAGCAACACGTGCGTGGGCTCTCTCTCTGTCACACACACACACACACAAACACATACGCATGTACACACACATCGCAGTGGTGATTAGAGCTGTATTGGAATGTTAATGAGCTGCTGGCTGGACTTTAGCAGTGAGGTATTCAGGTCACGACACGGAAAGCACTCAGAACCAACGACTAGGGGCTTGTATACACTGATATTTATCCTTATTATTTCTATCCCTGAACACAAAGAGATAATTAATGCACTTCTATCATATTACAGAGCTTTAAACTGCTGTAAATTGTGACTCTGAACTGTAATTGGTATTTTTTGGTATTACCTCCTATAGCAACATTACAGTAGTCCTGTATATGAATCTGGGGTTTAAGGCACTCAGTGTTGCATTTATACAGTGGTGAAGGAGGTATTCAGATCCTTTGTTTAAGTACAAGTACTAATACCACACTGTGAAAACACTTTGTTACAAGAGTCCTGCGTTGAAAATGTAACTTAAGTAAAAATAATATATAATCAGGAGCATTTACACAAGGTATTAAAAGTAAAATACCCATTGCAGAAAAATCTTAGAGGGGTCTACAGTCTGTGTTTGAAGGATATATCCAGGATGTCAAACTGACTCAGCAGCAACAACAGGTTAAAAAGACAAAGATAGTTAGAAGCTAAAACCCAACTATAGGCTACAGATCACAGTGTACAAGTGAACCACCACATCACTGCTGATCACCACACAAGACAATGAATATAAAGGGAAACTTTGCTGATATTGAACCAGCTGTGTGGCATCGCAGTGTGTGCAGATGAACGGTGTTCAGCTTCATTCCTGTGCCGCTGCCGGCGACCAGACCGGACGGGCAGGGATCTCCAGGGGAAGTCAAACAACGTTCATCTATGCACAATGTAATGACACACAGAGCTGCTTTTTTTTCACTATTTTTGTCATTAGCACACAGGTACAAACACATGCACAAACAGGACCTATTCATGCACAAAGTGGAGAGATGTCAGAGTGAAGGGGCTGCCAGGCGCCCTGAGCAGTTGGGGGGTTCGGTGCCTTGCTCAAGGGCACCTCGGCAGTGTCCAGGAGGTGAACTGGCACCTCTCCAGCCACCAGTCCACGCTCCATGTTTTGTCCGGATGGGGACTTAAACGGGCGACCCTCTGGTTCCCAACCCAAGTCCCTATGGACTGAGCTACTGCCGCACCTGAGTAAATGTACTTAGTTAGTTACATTTTTGGTAAAACTGTGTAATAAAGCTGTTCATTCCACTCCTATGGTAATTTTTGATGCTGTACTTTGTGCTGTTGTACTACAGTTTTTTATTTTGTCCTCCCCTTTATATACAAGTGTTTTTATTTGCATACTGTACTTCTACACAGTACTTGTATTTGCACGTACATACCGCTGATGATAAGAAGACAACAGAAATATTCTCCTAAGTGCTCTGCATTAAGCTCAAACTGTTGAGCAAGTCTGTTGAGTTGAGTGTTCATACTGTTCATTTGTGTGCATGAACAGTTTCATGTTCAAATGTGTGTCAGCAGGGGGTTTGGGAGTCTGCATGTGTAAATCCAGAGTTTGCGTGTTGATGACAAATCCTTCAGTCCATCAGGAGGGGGTTAAAAGCGTACGGAGGTAAGGGCCTGCTGTCTGGAGTGCAGTGGTAACCGCCGCTAAGCTAAAAAAGGCTAACCCAAGGCCGGGGTCAAAATCATTATCATTCCGCACACAGACGAAGAATTACAGGCCGGTCTGTCTCTCCATCTGCAGGACCCTGTCTGTGAGATCAGCGGCGGCACTCATGAAATACATCTGTGAAAGTCTACAGCAGAGATAATCGAATCATCTGAATCATTAGTGCCAAGAGGCAACTGGCAATGAGTGTCAGTGTGAGGAAAGAAGTGACTCCAAACCTAATAGAAAAGCAAAGAGTATGGTAGGAGGGGAAGAGAGGAAAGAACATTTATACATAAGCATAAAAGAGGCAGACTAAGACATGGGGATGGAAAGAAATTAAAGGACAAGACAGAGAAGGAGAGAAACGGGAAGGAAAAGGAAGGAAATAAAATGAAAACAGAGGAAAGGACAGGGATGACCACTGAGTACAGGCCAAGGTCTGAGTTGAGGAAAGGCAGCCAATCGCTTCTTGGTAATCGAGGCAGAGGAGACAAATGAGAGAGCTGAAATCGTGGAAGTCCCCTTCCAAAAATAAATAAACGACATATATGTCTCTGCCATGTCTTTGGAGTAAAATGTTGATTTTTAACCTTTTCTGAGTCCAGCTGACTGAAGAGATGTTTAGTTTACAGTGAGAGCCTGGCAGCTGGAGGGGAACAACAACCACAGTGTTCAAGTGTTTGTGTCAAACCCGACTGACTTCACATTTACTCTGTTGGGTATTTCTCATTCTGTCTGTCTGACAGAGAGATGATTTTGGCATAATCACTACCTGTGGCACAGAAAAGGGCCTGATCCTGTTTAGGTTACACACTTCCTCTTAAAAAATCCATCACCCCAATAATGATTTATCACACTTGTTCGGTTTAATGTTCTCTTTCTTAGAAGCAGGGGAACACAGATAGGTGGCAGGTGCAACAACCTCATTGGACAATTCACAACAGACTGTGACTCAGCTCTTAACTCTTGGTCTGATTTCCTCGTTCTTGTTACTCTAGGTTTTCCTGGAAATCAAGTGGCCACTTAATGATACGGGCAACGCTCTGTCTAACCCTTGAGGGTCGACAGTTGATCCAGTCGGTCATGTGTAATGCTCATGGTCTTCATCAGGCCGTGAGTGGGGCTGTCAGGGTAACCTTTACCAAAAGTGTCTGCTGTCCATCAGGAGCATGTCAGCAGCAGCGATAAGCCTTGAACTTGGCCTCATTCTGGTGTACTGCTGGTGGTGCAGTCAGGTGTGACAAGGTGGGCATTATAGTTAGCTACAGTTTGCAGGGAGAGCTACCAGCATTATACATAAACAAACACTGAATGAGCAGCCGCAATGCACCTGCCCGGGCTGACTGCAGACGCTCTGGACTAGACTTGGAATCGACTTCCGATTTTGCCGATCCACTTCGGTGTACGAGCTTAAACCAGTTTTATTTTATGCAAAGTAGCTACACTTGCATTTGTCATTAAGACACAGTCTGGCAAATTAAAACGTAGTCTACGTGGTTGAAGTCGGCAACCGTCACAGCACTTAATCCAACTTGTTGCAGCGTGTTTCAGAAGCCTCCCAGAAGCTAATAAAAATACACACCTTGTCTATTTTTGATGGCACTGCAATGTGTTGCACAGAGCAACACAAGTTTTCCTGCCAATAGGCACTACATGTGAAATATAGATATGAAATAACAATGAGAATTCATGTATTTTTCGTGACTACAACTGAAAATCTTTGATCCATGTCATCCATGACTAAACTTTTAACGTTAGTTTTTCTGTGGGCAACGGCATAACAAAGTAGGAAATTAGAACAATAAACACAATTAAAAAAACAAACAAAAACAACTTTTAACTACATAGTCTAATTATGACCACATCAACAAAATCTGCAATCTATAAAATTTTGCTGGCAAAATATTCTGCTCTTAAAACTGTCCCAGTGTGGTACGACGCTGTACGGAGGGCTGAACAAAACTGAGTTGCAGCCAGAATGTGGCGTAGCTGCACTTAATGAAATTGTCCCAACCATACGGTCTAGATGGTGGCAAAGATGTCAAAAAGGGGGATTTATTCAGCTTGTATTATCCCTAACTTCACTGGATCATTACATTGGGTATGGACTTAATCTGCAGATGCTGCGGCTCAAAATGAGACCAAACCTTCTTTGGATGTCAGTTTTTGAGCCATGACAAGGGTCAAAATTTGGCCTGCTGCAACAGACGGTGCGGCTTGTTGTTTTTAACCAAGCTGGAAAACAGGCAGTCCCCACCGAATGGTTAAGAGAAGTGAGCAGTCAGCTGTCAATAACTGTATAAATCATTTTAAATCACTGAAGCCATGAGAGGTCCTTGAGCATTCAGTCATAAATGTGCACACAAAATATTAGGCTGATTGGTAAAGTAGTATGTGAGATTAGCTGCGGGCAGACAGATACACACACGCAGCCACATGATCCCCTCCAGACTTACACCTGACGGAGATACTTTAATGTTCAGAGATACATTCTGATATTTTTTCCTGTTACGCAAAATATTATTATTATCCTAAATCCTACAGGGCCTACCTCTCTTCTTACATCTCTGCAACATACTCTTTATAGCTTAGGGAATGGACTGGTTTAGTGTCTGAAGTCTCTCATCCTTGTACCTTGTGCCTGCCTGGCAAACACACAATTTATTTGTCAATGTAATAGTTACATGGCTTCATTTGCATAGGACCCATTAAGGACCTGCTATGTGAACAAAGATGAGTGAGTGATTATTCTTGCTGGATACAGATGATATACAGTGTGTGATAAGCTGTCGGGACACATTGTTTGAGCCAGAGCTGAATTCTGCAACAGACAACAGATTTTTGCATAATCACACTGTTTTTAATGTGAGCATTAAACATCTTCATAAGTCATTCAGTATAGCAATGGATTCTGAAATATTTTGTGAAACAAGTGATAA